GGGGAGTAAGAAGAAGAAGGGAGGTATGAAAAATGGGGGGTAAGAAGAACAAGAGGGGGAGTAAGAAGAACACAAGGAGGAGGGGGGAAGTAAGAGTGAGGAGAAGGGGAGATGAGGAGAAGGGGGGGACTGAGAAGAACACAGGGAGGGTGGGTGGTGAGGAGGACACAGGGAGGAGAGAGGGTAAGGAGGACACAGGGAGGAGAGGGGGTAAGAAGAACACAGGAAGGGGGGAGTTGAGAACACAGGGAGGGGGGAGGTGAGGAGAACACAGGGAGGGTGGAGGTGAGAAGAACACATGGAGGGTGGATGAGAAGAGCACAGGGAGGGTGGGTGAGAGTGACAAGAGACCACTAGGGGAGGGTGGGGGAGAGGAGAGACCACTAAGGGGCAGGGGAGAGCTAGAAGGGACAGCTCTATAGGACAGGGGGCAAGACAGGGAGCTCTTTCACACTACGCGCACACACACACAATGCATCCCTATACATACACAGAAACACACAATGCATCCCTACACACACAGAAACACAACATGTTTCCTTTACACACAGAGAAACACACAATGCATCCATTACACACAAAGACAATGCATCCTTTGCACACATACACAGAAACACACAATGCAAACCCTTACACACACACACTGCTTTTCTTACATACACACAGAAACACAATGCATCACTAACACACACTCAATGCACACACTTACAGACACACACCTTGTATCCCTTATGCATACAAACACAGATTCACACAATGCATCCCTTACACACAACCAGAAACATACAATACATCCCTTATACACAAATACACACTGCTTCCACTACACACAAACACATTGCATCACCTGCACAAACTGGTATCCCTATACACTACATACCATCGCAGCAGCAGTAGGTGCAGTCAGATTATAGCCTCTCCCTCGTGGTTCCGGCGCTCAGTTAGTGAGTCAGAGCACACGCTCAGAGATTCTCAGCCTGCGCTCTGACAACATTGAAAGTCAGAGCCGTGAAGGAACGGGTATGGCAAAGAGCTACTGATTAGCATAACATCAATATCCGTTATAAAACCAGGAAAAGGTGGGTACCATTGCACTGATTTGGTGGTGCAATGGGCCACTTGACTGGTTTTGCCCCCCAGGCCTAAGGCTGCCAGCCCTCCCCTGCTCACACCATTTGTCCAATGATTAAAAGCAACTGGAGGAGTGGACCTGGAGGTGTGTTGGAGGTGTATACCGGAGACAGACCTAGCAGCCAGACTATGATGAGTATTTCTATTGTGAAGCACCATGGGAAATGATTACAATTTGCTCTGGGGTGAAATGAGACAGTCCACAAGATACTCATCACACCCAAGTCCTCGTTGGTGACAAAAGAATTAGGAAAAAGACTCTGCATCTTTAAGCATGCACAGATTTCTATGATTGTGCTGTGCAGGAAGCCTGATGGAAGATTTAAGCAAGGTACCCAAAACATTATGGTGATACCAAAGACGAGGTACCAAAAATACCAAAAAGATTGTGGTGAGATCAAACACAATAGAACTCCCTACATTGCAAATAAAAAACAATTCACCTGCATCTCTCAATTTGGACTTTTAGAAGTACACCCTGGACCAGAGACTTGAGAAATCATGTTTCCACAATACTCCCACAGTTCACAGCTTGATATGTAAATGAACACAGATATGTAACATATTACAAGTCCAGGTGCCATTCATCTATGCTTTCTTCCAGGCTATAGGTTACCAGCCCTTCCCTGAATATAGCTATAATCGTTCTGCAAGTTTTACACCTTGCCCTGTCCAGGGCCTAACAAATACATTATGTCTTCATCATTGGTTTTTGTGACTGGATATCAACTGTTAGATAATCAAAGAAGATATAGAAAGTAAACGTGGTGAAAATATACACTGAAGGTCAAACATCAAATATGCTAAACAACAAGCTTTCCCCCCCAAAACTCAATTACTGTTATATTTACTTGGAAACGAAGATCCCAAGTCCAAATTCTTTTCCTCCTCTGATGTTAAAACCCCAACAATTGTCATCGGAGGATGTGTAAAGATGTACAATTCTTCTCATTCCATCTTCAGAGCTGGTATCAGACGGCGTGGACCCTACCTTCTCCACCACCAGCCTCTTATTTAAAACATCCACCCTACAACACAGAATGGGAAACAGCAAGATTGTGGGTATCAAAGCAGTTTTCAACTCCAGAACGCATTCTCACTAAAAGCATTTTTGTCAGTAGCAAATGGGTGAGAATAAAATCTTTAAAACAACCACACTTTTAAGCAGTTTGCTTTTAAGGGACACTCCAGGCTCCTACACATGTTAGGTGCACTGTGTAGGGAGTCTAGAGTATCAGTTTATTATCTAATTTTAGGGAGAATTATGTCTTGGCACAGAAAATGCCAAGACAGGAATACATCATGGCCGCCTCCTTGTCTGCTGTGAAATGTAGATTCACAATATTGCATAACTTTATTTTTTATATAAAGTATACATGTAATTATCTCTTTTAGGGTTATTCACTAAATTGTGAGTTGTCAGGAATATAAATGTTAGGTCAAATTAGCAGAATCTGAAGCACAGCTATTTTTTCAAATTCAACTATTTTGCCCTAAAATGTTAAATTCACTTTGAATTTGTAAAAATGACCAATTCAGTGAATAACTCTGTTTAACGTTAAATTCATTTCTGGTCCCGTCTATGGATGCCTAAGGCCGCCTCTGTGGATTTTGGGATTATCCACTAAACAAGGAATAATGTACAAGACCTGGAGAAAAATCCAATTACCCCACCCTTGGTCATCCTACATCTCCATTAAGTCACTTCTTTTCATACCTTTGCCTCTCAGATTTCTTCTTCTGACAGTATTTCTTCCATTTAAATATAAAGAATAATCCAGGCACTGCAGCATATTCCAAAATGTAGGCAAACGTTGCCTTTTGGTTCCTTGTTCCAATAACGATTGCCTACATTTTGGAATATGCTGGAGTGCCTGGATTATTCTTTATATTTAAATGTTTCAATTGGTCCTTTTTTGGTACTGGGACTTATCCACTAGAGCATCCTGAATTCCAGACAAAGGATTGAGTGCACTTCCATCACCTACATATAGTATTTCTTCCATTGTCTTTTTCAGTATATTTTATTGTCCATTGCTATCCCGCTCTGTAATTTTTATCCTAAATTGCTTTTTCCACAGTCTCTCCGTCAGTCTCTGTTTGCTGGCTGTGTGTGGAGGCTTCTCCTGTTGTAAGTGTGAGAGGCACTGTGCGTTGTATATGGGGGGCACTGTGTGCAGTATATGGGGGGCAATGTGTGCAGTACATGGGGGGCACTGTGTGCAGTATATGGGGGGCACTGCGTGCAGCATATGGGGGCACTGTGTGTAGCATATGGGGGGCACTGTGCGTTGTATATGGGGGGCACTGTGCGTTGTATATGGGGGGCACTGTGTGAAGTATATGGGGGGCACTGTGTGCAGTATATGGGGGCACTGTGTGCAGTATATGGGGGCACTGTGCGTTGTATATGGGGGCACTGTGTGCAGTATTTGGGGAGCACTGTGTGAAGTATATGGGGGCACTGTGTGTAGTATATTGAGGGCACTGTGCGTTGTATATGGGGGGCACTGTGTGCAGTATATGGGGGGCAATGTGTGCAGTACATGGGGGGCACTGTGTGCAGTATATGGGGGGCACTGCGTGCAGCATATGGGGGCACTGTGTGTAGCATATGGGGGGCACTGTGCGTTGTATATGGGGGGCACTGTGTGTAGTATATGGGGGGGCACTGTGTGTAGTATATGGGGGGGCACTGTGTGTAGTATATAGGGGGCAATGTGCATTGTATATAGGGGGCAATGTGTGTTGTATATAGGGGGCTCTGTGTGGTGTATATAGGGGGGCTCTGTGTGTTGTAAATGGGGGGCTCTGTGTGCTGTATATGGGGGGGTTGTGTTATGCATGCAAGTTCTAGGTCATACAGCTCTATTCTGTATCTGTCAAGTTAAATAAATAGCCTTACTTGTCGGCACAATTAATTCATCTTTAGAATTAATAATATTACCACACTGCAAACTATATTGTTTACAAATAATTGTATCTGAATGATCAACAGAAATGCTCATAACATTTTTTCTTTTTAAAAGACTAAGATCATTAAACATTTTTTCTTTATATACAGATTAAGATTAAACATTAATTTGCTATTTATTATATAATATAGTCCCATTCAGCCTACAATATGCCCACTGTAGAATGTGATGACCCCTGTTGAGCTAGATTTTATTTGGTCAAAGTTCATGCTCACACGAGCCCTCATGTTGTCATGAAACTGGATCCGATGATACTCTAGTGATCTTGACACGCTCTCTTTGGCCCAGAGAGGTAATACATTGTGATTTTTGGTTACCTAGAATGGAGGACAATAGCTGTCAGGAAGTTAGCGGTGCTCTACTTACCATGTGGTTTTTTCTCTGGAGAATTTAATCCCTGGCACTTTTCCCATTCGTCTCACCATCATACGAAGGCGATTGTTCCCAGTCAGGACTTTCACTGCACTCCCCATAGTTATGCTTTCTAAACTAATGCCGTTCACTTCTGCAATCTTATCTCCAACGCACAAACCAGCTTGCTCTGAAAAATACACGTTAAAGGATTGGAATCTAAAAAGAATCAGTAGGCTATTTATTAAATTAGAAATTACTAGAAGTGATATGGAATTTCCTATTTTAAGGTTAAAAACTGAAAACGTAACTGATTGGAGAAATATTTACAAGTTTTTAAACTCACATTAAATTCCTGAAAATTCCCCTTTAGTGAAGGTCCCTGTAAGTGATGTTTGATAATTAATGTATGTCTTTGTAATATTTACTTTTGATGTGATAATAACATGTGAGCCATTCCAACAACTGAATATTTTTTTTTTTTTACAATAAAACTGTTCGTCAATTTATAAGATAGTTAAATTAACACATTTTGTGGTTGGCTTCTGGTGTTCTACATAATTTACCTTTAGATTGTAAGCTCATGGGCTGACTTGGCACTTTGTATAAAAGAGCTTCAATGGCTATATCTCCACTCAAAGGCCGAGCCCTCTTTACCTTTTGTACTGCTTTGGGTATATTATACCATCAGCCCCCACTCCCCAATTGTACAGCACTGCGGAATATGTTGACACTTTCTAAATACTCATTTATCATTGTGAATGATATCAGTAAAATTAAAAATATGATGTGCATGCATAGCCCTCTCATTCTTTAAAAAAATAACATGTGGCATAGCGCAAACATATTCCTGAATACACAGCATGCTTCCCATAATGTCAAATAGCCAAAGAGAGACACTTTAATTTGAGGGGTGTGAGTGGGAGTGGGACCAGGCACGGGACTGTTCTGAGAAAATTTTATATATATACCCCGTATTTTTACATATCCTTGAACATCCAATGTTGTGTATGCCTTTAAGAAAAATAAAAAATAAAAAAATTGTGCAGTACCCTTATGTACACAAGTGTGATATACACATAAATTGGAACACTCACACACTCACATATTCCAGAGCTATAACCTAGCGACCTGCCCCTTTTTCTTTATGGAAAGTAGTTTAGGAGTTTTCTGTGTATTTTGCAATAGTATGCAGTATCTCAAAGAAAGAGATGTATATATCGTGTGATACCGTTTGTATGAATGGCTTCTTCAATCTGGTGCAGTCTATTTGTATTACCGTATATACTCGAGTATAAGTCGACCCGAATATAAGTCGAGACCCCTAATTTTACTACAAAAAATTGGAAAACTTATTGACTCGAGTATAAGAGTAGGGTGGGAAATGCATCAGCTACTGGTAAATTTCTAAATAGAATTAGATCCCCAAAAAATTATATTAATTGAATATTTATTTACAGTGTGTGTATATAATGAATGCAGTGTGTGTGTGTGTGTGTGTGTTTGTGTGTATGAATCATAGACGTGCGCAGCCTGTTGCATTAGGGTGTGCACCCTAAAGCACAAACACACGCCGCGTGTATATGTATTTTTATATACACATACACACACACATATCTATATATATATATATATATATATATACACAAATATACATGGGTGCAGTGTGTGTGATTGTGAATGGTGTAGCGTGTAAGGAATGCAGTGTGTGTGATTGCGAGGGGTACAGTGTGTGTGTGTAATTGTGAAAGGTACAGTGTGGTGTAATTGTGAAGGGTGCAGTGTGTGTGATTGTGAAGGGTACAGTGTGTGTAATTGTAAGGGGTACAGTGTGTGTAATTGTAAGGGGTACAGTGTGTGTAATTGTGAGGGGTGCAGTGTGTGTAATTGTGACGGGCGCAGTGTGTGGGGGGTACAGTGTGTGTAATTGTAAGGGGTACAGTGTGTGTAATTGTGAGGCAAGCAGTTTGTGTGGGGTACAGTGTGTATGATTGTGAGGGGTGCACTGTGTGGGTGACAGGGGTTAGGTGGGTGGAGGGGCAGTGACAGGGGGTAGGGGAGTTAGCGACAGGGGTTAGGGGGGTAGATGGACAGGGGGTAGGGGGATGGAGGGGCAGTGACAGGCGATAGCGGGGGTAGACTGTTAGTGACCGGGGTTATGGGGGGGAAGTGGTAGAGGGGTAGTGACAGGGGCTAGAGGGGTAGTGACAGGGGTTAGGGGGGTATGGGGCAGTGGCAGAGGCAGTGAGTGACAGGGGGTGGGGGGCAGTGAGTGACAGGGGGTAATAAGGAGGTTTAAATACCTTCCCTGGTGTTCCAGTGGGTGCCCTCTCTCTTCAGTCTGCAGCTCCGCCGGGAGTGAGCTGCAGACCACATGGCGAGTCTCGCGATCTCCAACGCTCTGACAGGCTGGAGATCGCGAGACACCACAGTCTGCAGCTCACTCCCGGCGGAGCTGCAGACTGAGGCTGGATCTCGTTCACAGCAGACTGACAGGAGGGGCCTCTCACCTGGCGGCGTTGTGGGCGTTGTCATAGACCAAGGACCCAACATGTTAGTCTGCCCTAAGGCAGTGCAGCATGGAGGTGTGATTAGGGTGTGCCCAGGCACACCTGACACACCCGTGCGCATGCCTATGGTATGAATGCAGTGTGTGTGTATGAGTGCAGTGTGTAATGCAGAGTGTGTGTGTGATGCAGAGTGTGTGTGTGATGCAGAGTATGTGTGTGATGCAGAGTGTGTTTGTGTATGTGATGCAGAGCCTTGGTGGGGGGTGGGCATTTTTTTTATTTTTTATTATTATTATTTTATTATATATATATATTTTTTATATTATTAATATTTTTATTTTATTTTGTATTATTTAAATTTGTATTTATATTTTTTTCGGCCCCCCTCCCTGCTTGATACATGGCAGGGAGGGGGGCTCTCACTCCCTGGTGGTCTAGTGGCATGGGCTGTGAGCGAGCTGTAACTTACCTTTCCTGCAGCTCCTGTCAGCTCCTCTATCTGCTCCCACTGCAAGTCTCGCGGTGTGAGTGCCGCACAGAGCGTTGCCACGGTAACCCGTGGCAACCCTCTGACCCCGCGGCTCTCGCGAGACTTGCAGTGGGGCCGACAGGGGAGCTGACTGGAACGGAGGAGAGAGAAGGGAGCTGACAGGAGCTGCAGGAAAGGTAAGTTACAGCTCTCTGCCAGCCCCCAACAGGACAGCCGGGCTTGTAATGAGCCCGGTCGTAGTGATGTCCGGAACTGTTCGCCACGGACTCCAGTCAGCTGACACATTCCAGCCAATCAGCAGCAGACCCTCCCTCCCAGACTCTCTCACCTCCTGGACGGCATCCATTTTGAAGCTGCATTCTTAGTGAGCTGTCCAGGAGGTGGGAGGGTCTGGGAGGGAGGGTCTGCTGCTGATTGGCTGGAATGTGTCAGCTGACTGGAGTCCGCGCGAACCGTTTGTGGCGAACCGTTCGGCGAACAGTTCGGGACATCACTACCCGGCAGTCCTTGTCTGTACTCGAGTGACTCGAGTATAAGACGAGTGGGGGTTTTTCAGCACAAAAAATGTGCCAAAAAACTCGTCTTATACTCAAGTATATACGGTATTTGATATTTTAACTGTAAGTTCTAATAAAGTATACTTATTCAATTTCTCTTAGGATATACTTTTTAAGGTTTATACTTTTATTTTATATTTTTTTACTATCAATGTTCCTGCATTCTACAACTCTGGGTGGTATGATGCCTAACCATACTCTGCTGTTCAACTGAGCCAATTACTAGGCTCTAGGCTTGTGAGTATTTTACCCATTTATACGAAAATATTTGTTACAAACGGTATCACACAATATATACATCTCTTTCTTTGAGATACTGCATACTACTGCTGAATACACAAGAAAACGCCTAAATTACTTTCCATAAAGAAAAAGGGTCAGGTTGCATAAATGGACCTACAGGCAAATAACTCCCAGAGTTAGGTTATAGCTCTAGAATATGTGAGTGTTCCAGTTTATGTGTATATCACACTTGTGTACATAAGGGAACTGCACTATTTATGGTTTTTTTTGTATTTATAAACACATTTGTTGTAGTTTAAAGGAACACAAACATATATTCCTGACCTTATAGTGGATTGTCCCCTATTCACCAACTTACAAGATAATAAAACGTACCTTATTTCCAGAGCCTTGCAGCCTTGCCGGCGCTGGCCCCACCCCCGATCCACATCCTTGCTGACATCATCAGATCTTTTAATTTTTAGCCAATCCAAAGCTTTCCCATAGGAAAATCATTGGATTGGCTGAAATAGGCAAGGAGGTGGGATGGGCCCATGCATAGCTTACAGCACTGCCCCAGGATGCATATCCAGTGACCATCTGAGGAGTGGCCCCTGGAGGTGTCCCTAGGGGGCAATGTAAACACTGCCTTTTCTCTGAAAATGACTGCAGTAAATGATTATACTCACCAGAACAACTACATTAAGCTTTAGTTGTTTTTGTGACTATAGTGTCCCTTCAAAGACACATTACTGGGAGTATTATTGCTGTGGAGCTCTGTAATACACATCAACAATATGGAGCTCCTAGAAAAGAGTACATTAGGATAGAAAAGAGGAACAGAGGGATTTGGGCTCAAAATAGGGACTGTTCCTCCTAGATAGGGACACTTGGGAGCTATGATACAGTATACACATGCATATGTTCAACTGTACTGAAGTATCAAAACATATTCCATATCTAATTATTGACGTTTAACTGTGATGATGTCAGATTTTCTCTTACAGGTTTCACTTTTTAGCAACCAACAATGGAGATCTCACAGACTCACGTTGGCTACCTCCAGAGACACACAATTGGAATTTTGATATATGATTGACATTTACAAAATTCTTGGCGTCCATGAAATAACAAAAAAAAATAACTTTACCTCTTACCTCATAGAACAGTCCATAGAGTCACCAACATATAGGGAAGGTGTGTTTTTGTTTTATATACAATCTCGCTAATGCAAGCAGTTTATAAATTTATTCTAAGATTAAATAAATAAATGCATACATTTTTTAAATCTCAATTGCCAGCAAGTCCTTCTATATCCCCATAGCTATAAATATTCCAAGTCTCTTACCGGCGCTGCTTCCTTCTTCCACTTTGCTAACAAATATGCCAAGTCCGTGTTCTGATCCCCCTCGAACGCTGAAACCCAGCTTCCCATCGTGAGTTTTATCCACTGTGATAGCAAGGATTGAATCACTCTCATCACTGGTGGCTGCAAAGAACCAAGTGTTAGGGTAAATGAGAAATGTTAGAATTTCAATGGTCTTAAAACAGCTTTAGAATGGAAATGTTTTAGAACATATGATTTTATTTAAAGACATATAAATGTTATATTATATTGTCCCCTGAGCAGCCTCAACAGGACTCCAGCCACCAGAGGTTTTTAGGAAAGATAATCCCTTTTGGAGTACCCTTCCACTCACATTATGAACATTGTTAGGGGACCATTCTCTGTGTGGGAGGCGCACAAGTGAATCATGGGGGGCATTTTTTTTGCCATGGGTTTAGCATGAAAAATGGCCAATACAGCTTGATTTACTTTCCACCTCCAGGACCCAACACACCTACAGGCCCTTACGACTGCCCATAGAGACTTATCTAAACTTCTTACCATACCAACCTCATGAGAACTAAATCTTTATTCTACTTTAATCGCAACAAATGTGGATCTCTCTTGGCCCATATGATTAGCAAAAAGAGGAAGGTCACGTACATTCATAAAATATACACCGACCACAAGAATATCCACTAAATGCCAGATAAAATTGCTGCCACACGACATACCCGTTACTCCAAACTTTACTCCCTCACAGACCGGCTACCACAGAAAGCAAATGACTCTCACATCCCAATGGTCAGGGAATACTTACAGCACAAGTTGCACACCAAAGTCCCAGACTCAATGACTTCTAGATGATCCCCTGATCAAAACTGAATAGACTATATCCCTCAAACAGATCAAGCCAGGTAAATGGCCCAGGCTGGATTTCCTTCCCATATGTTACTACAAATTATTATCAAACCTTTTTCCTCACCTCATTACAATGCACTTATTGCCCAGAATATTATATCTTTTACAGAACCTGCCAGTAGCTTTCTCAAATGCCTTCTCTACATCTATCAATTATAACCAAATACAGCTGCCAAAAAGTTAGCTTTGGGACTCTGGCTCTGCCGAAGACAAGGAGGGGGGTAACCACACACCCTTGAAAATATCCACATACAATAAAAATCCATAACCATCTGCAGACTTAGTATAGCCAATGGGGTAATACCGGTGTACTGGAAGCAAACTAATACCCCATCTATGCAAATGGTGGTTCTTAGGGCCATGAGGGACATTATATTCAGGAAGAAAGGGAGACAACAGGTCAACATCGTCATATGGGGAAACTGGATACTCCGCATTAAATCTGCTGAAATCCAGACTCTAACAACATATCAGAGACATGGATATTGCTTAGTTGGTTTAACATCAATAGGAGATGGCCATGTAGTACACTTTGAGACATCTATTTCATGGTCTAACCACCCAGGATCTAACGAGGAGGGGGTAGCAATCTGACCTGCTTCTGGCTTATTAAGTTGAGCAGGGTTACAAAGGTACATTGAAAGTGAACCATTGATTTGTTACTTCCCCAAAAAGTTAGAGACCTGCGTTTCTCAGTGTGTTGACAATTTTGACTTTGGGTCCTGATTGTCCCTCTTTTATCCTGGTTTCTCGAGATTTGGTTTTATTTCATGGTTTCGTGTACATTATTTCTACATGTAATCTTTAATAAAGAGCTAATTACAACAAAAATAGTGAGGGGACAGTTGTCCTTTAAATGATCTGACCCCGATAGAGATGAAGAAAAAACAAACTGATGAGAGTCTCTTGCAGGGAGACCACTGCTTGAACAGCACCACTTGTGTGGCCTGATTAATTTTCTACAACCTGGTACCCACAGAAGTTCCAATACTAGGCTACAAATGGCAGGATATTCAAAAATTGCAGCTCTTTGTTAAAGCCCTATTTTGTCTGAAAATAACACTTTCTGAGAAATTAACTAAATGAATACTACACTGTATATTACAAGCTAAACCAAACACGTAGTGGAAGATGCATGTGCCTAAATGAATAAATGTTTCATAGTTACACAAAAAGAGGACATGATTAGCAAGTTACCTTCTAAAGGTGAATTTATTAGGATGACTCTTCCCATTGGAGAAGTGGCCCGTAGATTTTTGAGGTGACCGTTTCTCTGTCTGTTCTGTTTTTGAAACATAGACCTGGTTGGCGTTGCAAAGTCTCTGTTTGAGCTCCTGGGTGAACTAACACTGGGCCTCTCACCATCATCCATTTCAAAAGCATGTGCCATGGTGTCCTGACGTGAGGGAAAGTCATATGGATTGCAGAGCTCGTTCAGTTTTCAAAGTGAAGAATTATGGAATTTGGGTGTGTTGGTGAAACTTTTGTTCCAAAGTGAAAATAGTTCATGTCATCTCCCACCAAAAGAGATGTATGTTTAACATGTTGAACAAAAACATCTTCAGGCCATGGCTCTGGACAACGTGGATTTCATGATGTTAAACTCAAGGCAATTCCAAGAACACAAACTAAAAACAAAACAAAAAAAGGAAATAAATATAGATTTTGGTTTCCTTTATCTTTAGATTGAGTGAATTAAAACCCGACTGTGTGTAGCCATTGTTCTCCTACATGGAAACCACAAGTGAATTCAACTTACAGACCAAAGGAGCCAAACTGGAAACATAGCAGACTTATTTGTCCTTAAATATAACATTCAGATTAAACCCACAGAAGTTCTAAGAGTGAGAACATGTGTTAAGCTCTGGAATTGTCACCACTAGGCTATAATCAATACCTAATTAGTTCATTTACAATTAAGGTTCTGACACCTTAAATAGAAGATCTTAATGATTCTCTAAAAGGATGTCCAGGGTTGCCTTTGCACAAACCACACTCACCATACTTCTATAATATATATATATATATACATACATACACATACATACATACATACATACACACACACACACACTAGGATAGGACCTGCCAAAATTTGGTACACTGGTATTGTGGCAGACCTATGCAATGCATAATCATATATTGTAACTAAACCCCCATTATTTTTGGCTAGTTTAGTTAAAAAAAAAAAAAAAACAACCCATTATGTGAGCACTGAAGTTGCTGCTTAATGAATGAGTGAGTGCGCTGGTTCTTGTATGTTATATAAATAGACACAATTTAAAATATACCTAATAACACAATTAGTAGAAATTGGTTTGTCCCCTGCCGAGTTTTACACGTAGAAAAGCAACAAACTACGTTATTTGGTCAGTAGTGCTCAAACTTTTACATACAACAGTTTTTCAGATTTATTGAACCATTTAACTTTAACACAATATATATTATATCCTCTAAACTGGTCCACTTTGGGATATTTGTTTTTAAAGCGACAGCTTAATGAAGTGGTTCTGGTGTCTGTAGAATGTCCCTGCAGGCTCAGCAATGTAAACACGGCCTTTTCATTGATGTCTAGTAACACCTCTAGGTGCAGTCACTCAGGTGGCCACTGGAGGTGCTCCCTATCTCAGTGCTGCACCTATCTCAGTGCTGTGATTTGCTCAGTGTGGGAAAGCATTGGATTAGCTGAGATCCTCAAGACTGATGATCTCAGTCATGGAGGCTTGGCCAGTTGCAGTAAGACCCGCGTGATGGAGAAAAGGTAAGTAAGAAACCTTTTTGCTCCATTCTGAGGGGGACCAGGCCTTCAAGAATCACTCCAACTCTATCGTGTTAGGAAATTATCCTTTAAATATCTGCAACAATAGATTCCCAATTTACCAAATCTTTAAATTAAAAAGAAAACTGAGCATCTCACGAAAAAGAGAAAAAGAGAAAAGACAAGTTATGGATGATTTTCAATCTTTTATTCAATCATTTAAAATCCAGAGCTGTGACAGCTATGATGTTTGAATGGGAGAAATGAATGAAGGAAATTAAAAGTAACACAGGGGATAACTCTGTACAACTATGGGAAAAATGACATAATATTGTATTGGGTGGGAGACATAGAAACAATTGAAAGACTATAAAAACAAATGTATAAAGGGTACGAGTATACAGTATCTCACAAAAGTGAATACACCCCTCACATTTTTGTAAATATTTTATTATATCTTTTCATGTGACAACACTGAAGAAATGACACTCTACTACAATGTAAAGTAGTAAGTGTATAGCCTGTATAACAGGGTAAATTTGCTGTCCCCTCAAAATAACTCAACACACAGCCATTAATGTCTAAACCGTTGGCAACAAATGTACCCCAAACACACCTCCAAGACGACCACTGCATTGCTAAAGAAGCTGATGGTAAAGGATGGACTGGCCAAGCATGTCTCCAGACCTAAACCCTAGTGAGCATCTGTCGGGCATCCCCAAATGGAAGGTGGGGAAGCGCAAGGTCTCTAACATCCACCAGCTCCGTGATGTCATCAGGGAGGAGTGGAAGAGGACTCCAGTGGCAACCTGTGAAGCTCTGGTGAACTCCATGCCCATGAGGGTTAAGGCAGTGCTGGGAAATAATGGTGGCCACACAAAATATTGACACCCTGAGCCCAATCTGGACATTTCCACTTAGGGGTGTACTCACTTTTGCTGCCGAAGATTTAGACATTAATGGCTGTGTGTTGAGGTATTTTGAGGGGACAGCAAATTGACACTGTTATACAGGCTATACACTTACTACTTTACATTGTAGCAGAGTGTCATTTCTTCAGTGTTGTCACATGAAAAGATATAATAAAATAATTACAAAAATGTGAGAGGTATACTCAGTTTTGTGAGATACTGTATATATAAACACCCACAGATACCAGTTCCAAGTGACCTCCGTAATAAACAAACTCACACGTAATTATTTCATAAAAATATGTTCTAACAATGTAAACTGATAGAACTGTGACACATTAGCATGTATGTTTTCACACACGGTTATAGAGGAAAAACCTAGATAATGGGGCACAAATCTGTAAATTTGTATTGTGAACGTATATATTCCCCCCCAAAAAAGAATCAAGTTTGAATATAATTATTACCTTTCCTAAATTAAAAATAAATCAAGATTTTATATAAACAGTTTTGAATATACGCCTCATTAAATTTAGAGGTACCTATGTAAATATACATATATCCCTTTAATCACCTACATGGGATTGGTAAATGGCGATGTACCAAGCTCACTACAATTCCATCCCATAGTGCAATCTGTAACATAGTATGGAATTCTAGATACAATTATAGGTCTTCGAGAAAGAATCCTGGTCTCCGCTCTGTAAAAAGTACTGTTGTGGGTCATGTGTTTTCTCCCAAAGAAATGACGAGAGTGGTTCCAGCCAGTCACTGTGGTCATTGAACTGTGAGCAAGTAAGTTGTGTTTATGGTGTAGAACCACACAATGACCTGCTAATGCTTCCTGGAATCATCAGTGATTTGTTCCTGTATCAACATAAACATGGTTCAATGATTTATGGACTATATAAAAACATGGGATCCTCCTACTTTTGCTGACCTAGAGATTTTTCCAGCTTTCTCTTTAAGAGGTTGGTGAGATAGCTCAGTGTGCTAACGCATCATCAATAGAATCTGTTCAACCCCTTGGGGGTTGCAGGATCAAATCCCAGTAACATCAAATCCTGGTAAAATCCCCTGGATGTTAGTCAAAAGTAACATGTACTTGGAAACCAGAGTAATCTGAATGTACCTTTCCTGGTTACAAATTTTGTTGTTATTGTTATTATTATTATTAGCAACAGGAAGTGGGTTAGGAAACTTCTAAATTGCCCTGAGAGAACGTCAGTGCACTTGAGACAGGGTGATTGCAGTAGAATTCGGACAGAGAGTGGGAGCAGTTCTTCTTGTTGGAGAAGAGACGTTTGATCCAAAAAGTGTTTCAATTCCAACAGATCGCTTCATTCCCTTCAAATTAAAATCATCGAGGCTGGTGTAACATGTTCCTATTGATGGGCCAAGAAATAAAACAAAAGTAACCGTCTTAGTGTATTGTCCCATATAATTCCAAGGCAGCTTTCAGTTTATTATGTTATTCTCTTAGAAGAATGGTGGCTGACCTTTGGCACTGTATCACATTATCTGCAGTTCTCATGATGCTGAGCCTAGGATAATTGTTGGCACACCAGGTGTTGTGTTCAATAATATCATAACCTCATCCAGCTGAAGGAGATTATTATGGCATAGTACCAAGGGTGCAAAAGGATTTCTATAGCCATATCTCTACAACAGTGACACATCCCAAAGAATCAACTGTGATTGGTTTATCTCAAGTCTGTAAAAATATCTGCAATACCTCTGCTATAAATCACAACTGAAGCAATGTTTTCTGATTAGCTATAAGTCCTGCGTGCTGTTGGGAGTTGTATGAATAGTGCTGCCCTGTAGTATGTAGAATTCACATACTGTCAGGGGAAATTGACTATATCCTGGAACTCATAGGCAAAAGCAAGGGTTAATAACCAATTTCCTTCAGCAGAGTATGAATTCTACATATCAAACAGCATTTTTAATTTTATAATTTTCTGGGAAAACACATTTTTTTTAAATCTAAATTTTCATTTCCGTTCCCAATATACAACAATCCACTCTTTAGTAAACGACCTTACTTACCTCTCTAAAAAGCTCCCGCCTCTGTAGAGCTGTAAAGGTTAAACCGACAATTGTGTTTAGGCAAGCTGTATATAATCTGCATGTAAAAGTTTGCCTTTGTAATATAACATAGCTCTCCACACGGCTGCCATCTCGACCTGTATCAGATAGCATTCTGCGGTTACACTCCATAGCACTGTATGACAAGCAGACAGGAGCTTGTATTAACCCATTCTAATCACAAGGACTGCAATTTTTATACATTCTCTCTTCTCACATGGACTGGGGAACATTCTTTACTAATGATCCAAACAAGGTGGTTTTTAAAGAAAGTGCAATAAGAGGTTTTAATTTATTTTACAGATTTTTTACGGTAAAGTGTGATAACCAGACGTGTGCCGAGCAGTATTGTCCCTAAAAAGAGAAATAGTTATGAGAAGTGCTTTATGCATTCTGTGAGAGAACAGACATTTCTGGGGAATTGGCCAGGAAAACGCGAATGTCAGGCCACCATAGGCAGACTGTAGACTATCTCTAACTTGGCATCTAGTGGGCTATGGACAGGTGAGCGCCAAGCTGCAAATTTAGTGCAAGATAGCCAGGATGGCAACATTTAGTTTCCCTTGAACTCTGACAAAGTTGCATTATTTAGCAAAAAAAAGTTTGAATAAATTTCGGTGGTTTCCCCCAGGGCGAGCAGCCTTTAGATGCCCAAATTATTAAAACATGGATTTAACATAATGAGAGCCAAACATACTGCTGATGAGAGCGTGCTAAGCTCAGTGAGTGTGCTTGTGAATGCTCATTCTGCTAACCTTCTGGACAATTTGAGATATTAGCAGCTGGAGAACATAATAGAAAGTGCACACGGTGCCTATTAGTTTGTTAGACCACAGGAGCAGTTTGTCAAGTTTGTATGTCCACCACTCACCACCCTCTGCTGGATTTAGACTTTACAACTGATGGCCTGCGCAGGAAAGGGAGCGCATAGCTGGCCTGGCGTGAGAGAAATTGGCTAAAACTAAAACCAACAAGAACATTAATGAACTCTATGCTACGAGACCACATTAAAGCAAACATCCCACTAGTAAAGAGCCCCAGGGTGATACGATGAATCCAACATGCTCCAAGTGTAGCAATAAACCTGGTTCACCATTTTGTAGTTGGCGGAATTGGTTACACCTATAGGGACAGTAAGCCGGTTTTATTGCATGTATTGGGTGCAGAATTGTTTCACATCACATACCCCCAAATATAAAGTAATACCATCACTCTGTAGAATGTAGGATTTGGGACTTTCTTCCCAGTGGAGTAGAAGAGTCCACAGCTTGGCCTAGTTTCTCCAGAATTAGTTATTTGACCGTTATACTGCTAGAAATTGGGATTTCATTAATCTATACATTATAATTGCACATACATACTGTGTGAGAAGTACTTGGCTTCATCCGTATTAATTAAGCCACGCTCTTTCCATCCTACTGTCTATATTGTCTACAGGGTGCGTGCATACATGATAAGTAAATGTATCCAGATTATACAACATTTCATGTCTTTTGTCTGTTAATATTTGAATTGTCTGTTTCCACCTCTATTCTGAGATTAGTATTTTATTAAACTCACGCAACATTTGTAAACACTTGCAGTTACAATGGCAAAGGCCAAATTTATCAAGGCAAATTGTTGTTTTTGTCTAGAATGCAAAATGAGATGCTATCACCATGGAAACCAGCAGAATGTCTCACAATATTTAGTTTTTTGCTCCTGAATAGCACATTTTCTGCCTGGATAAAAATGTCCCATAGCATACAGATTACAAAAGGTAAATTGAGACACTGTGTACTTGCTCTGGTGAGGTCCCACGGTGTTGAATATTCCTTGGTGTTTAATTGCGGTCACTAATATTACACAGGTACCAAAACAAGCTGTGCAGGTCCTTAATACTACAACAGGGTAAATTAACCTTGGTCAGAGATAGAACCAATATCTTGCCACCGCCATCAGTCCTGTCTGACATGCAGTGAGTTAAACGAATGAATACAAAGAATTAGATTTTAAATGGGAGGAGACACAGCTTAAATCCAGAGCTTGAAGAGAAAGTCGAATTAACGTCACATTGTATTAAACAAGCACGAGCATTCCAGACCGGAACATTATCTCCCAACAGACCATTCTATCCCACAAAGAGTGATCACATCCTGGCGAGGAGGGATCTGCCTCAGCATGATAAAGAATACATAAAAAATATTACTCACATGGATGTGTGTTGTGCTTTCCCAGGTAGATTAATGCTGATCTGTGAACGCTTCAAACAACAGTGACTTCTCAGTTACATCAGCAGCTTGTACAACGCATGTGACAGGACAACCTAGCATTGTCTCTAGTGAACTGTGTCAGCCAGTCAGAAGACAATCTAAAGCCAGGTGTCTCCCACTGTTTAGCTGCTGGGATAATATAACATATAGAGGTGCTTCTAACCCAGTGTGCACTACAACTCCCATCACGCTCATTTAAGAATACCTCTTGCATAGCATTATTTTGTTTGGCTTTGTGCATTAACCTAGCAACGATTAAATATGTATTAATTTTTTATTTTTTCATACATTTTTTCCATCTGTCTCATCTTTTTTTTTTTTTTGCCAGATTATTTTTACGGTTATGTAGGCCAGTGGTTACCTATCCTCACCTGAATGTACAGGTGGGTGGTAGGAAGTGGAGGCTGGTCCAGAGGGTTAGGGCTCCACCCAGTGCTGTTGCAAAAAATACAAAAATAATACTGATTACATGGGGTTAAGAGGGCAGACAGCATCTACCATCTTGAAAGGTTCTGGATATGTCCTGTTGTAAACTGTAAATCCAGTCCATTTTCTTTTTTTTTTTTTTAAAGGAAAAAAAATAGAAGAAACATTTATCATTTTCCCCTAGATCCAAGTAAATGCTTTATTTAATATTTTTTTGCTCTCTGCAATGGAACTTACATGCGCATGCACTGCCAACATGTACTCACTGACACGTACTTTTGCTCCGCTGGATCCATGGTAACTGGAACTCTGGAACAAGGCTCTGTGAAGTGAATAGCTCTCTCCCTCCCCAGTAACTGGACGACACACAGTTCTGGGAGTACAACTGATCTATTCAGCACTAACTTAGCCTTTTATGCACAGACTCCCAGCATGGGGTCTCCATTAAAAACTACACAAGCCTCTCCCACGCGTCTCTGTTTCTGGGAGATAATTGGGTCAAAACTAAGTAACTCAATTATCTCTCAGTTACAGGAAACTACATGAAACATACATAAAACACCCCAAAAACATATTCATAATTCACAGGAACCTCACAAGTCTTATATCCCCGAATAGCCAAGATCTGAGCACCCAAGTTGTCCAAATAGTGCTCAGATCCATTTGGTAGAATGTAGCCACCATTCGGGTAAAGTTCTGACAAGGCAATGACCCAAAATAGTTCCAGAGAAAAGTGGGCAACGGCCGGTCTACTTTCGGGAGTTCCTGTGTGGACACCAAAGTATGCTCCCCCTGGCTTTTAGGGAGCGAATGCTCCCCCCAGTCGGTAGATCCTATCTCCTGAATGTCGTTCGTCTAGTTCAGGGATAGGCAACCTTCGGCACTCCAGATGTTGGGGACTACATCCCCAATAATGCTTTTATATCCATAATGCTGGCAAAGCATCATGGGAGGTGTCGTCCAAAACAACTGGAGTGCCGAAGGTTGCCTATGCCTGGTCTAGTTGGTCGGCAAGTGGGACTGACAGCGGTAAAATCTTTGCCCGTGTTCGCGGGATTGGGCCGAAAAGAGTTCCAAGTGTTTGATGACCAAGTACTGCTGCCTGTGTTTGGGAGACAAAATGGCCACCCAGGGAAAGCACTTGCCTTAATTGCTTGTTTGAGATTAACAACCAGGGGTGGTCAGTGTTCGGGGGGAGTGGGGAGGAGGGTATAAAAATAGGGACCACACATCATACATTCAGGATCCTCAGATTATTTAATACAGGTCATAAATTAAAGTGAAATATACATTATAAATATTTTAGACAAAAATATTTAGGTTAATGGAATCCATAACACATTGAAATGTAGTTAAATGGAGATGTTTCCAAGTGCACAAGTGCATTGTTCAACCCTACACTATCAATGTGTGCAATATATGAGATTATAGAATGATATTAGATGGTAATGTCAATCAAAATGTATCAAATATAACTGATATTTAAATTTTCCACCTATATGCCATTCAGTTTGTCTAAATTTATAAGATATCTCCATTCTTTACTATGATACCAGTGAATGTGTACAAATATATATTATATTCCATTCTTCACCCATACATCAGTCGGTATCTCTAAATGCTAAATGTGCAACACATTTTTTTAAGGCATCTGTGTGAATACAATGCCTCACCGTCAAACTAATTGATTCTAAAAATTAGGTTAGTCCACAGCGAACCAAATTAGAGTCCAGTCCGTGTATGGGTGACTGTCTGACTTTATTATGAATGAACCAAATTTCAGAAACAAATCGTTAAGGCAATATATTTGTAGGATATTATTGCAGACCTACTAAATATATAGAATGATTCCATTGCTCATCTTGTATGCCAATCAATGTGTTATTCTGTAGGATATAATTAACATGTAAAACATAATATAAGTAATGTAAGTGCGGTGTCTTCGACTCCCTACCCATTAGCTGAATTACAGTGTCTTGGGTGAGTGACCCAGGCCTTATTAATAAATAACGACCATCCTACGAACATCTCAAGTGTATTACGTTCTCAGACATAAACAATGCGCACCACACATTAAGCGTCAAAAGAAAACATTAATCATAGTAGAAAGAAAAATATTGATTGCATTAACCTTGTACTTTCACAGCTGTTAATGTGCTAAACAAGAAAACGATACATTTACATTCAGTTTGGTATTTAAATTGTTAAAATTATTTAAATGGAACTCTGTTAGAACCTCCATTGGATCAGTTTGACTTTGGCAAGCACCATAACTACTACAACTTATTGTAGTGATTATGGTGCCTGGCATCTACAGATACAGTACCTATGGTGTTTGTCATAACATTTTTAAACTCTGTGACAAATAACAGTGGATATGCTGGCACGCAAGCATGGTCTTTCAGCTGGAAATATCAAAAATAGCAAATTCCACTTCCTTGTTAACCATACAAATATTTGTACAGTGGAAGCACATATTGAATGCTCAACCCTTGTAATGTGAGGTAGTGGTCAATGGGCTGTAGGAGAATTCAGAACAACAACTAAATGACTGTTGACCTATGGGTTCACCATGATTGACCACATACTCTCCAGTGTTCACGGCCTTTCAAGTCATAAAACGAGCGTAGTGGGAGCCTTGAAAATGGCAGGTCCAGAGAGAATACAGCATTTTGGAGAAATTACTCACATGGCCCTGTAGCTTTTGTGATATTTCTCCTGGCTGCAATTCATTTAATGTTTGGAAGTAATAGATTCATGGACTGGATTAAAGCAGGACTTTGCAAGAAGCAAAATAAGTCTTCATTACTCTGTACGTCGCAGGCGACAACCAATTTCCATGGTATGAGTTAAGGGAGAAATGGTGGCCAAGGGGTGATGTAACCTCCTGGCTGCCCATAGGCCACAAGCTGTGATGGAATAGAGGATTTTAAGAAGACAAGGAGAGGAGATAGGGATGAGAGAGCATGGATTAAGAAAGGGAGATTAGGGGGGGGGGAAAGAGGGCATTGAATAAGGAGGAATAAGATGGTGAGGGGAGATAAGACAGCTTGGGAAGGGGGATGGGAGATAAGATTGAATAGAAGTAGTGATGGTCTTCATAATATTATAAATGCTACATATTAACAAAATTACAGGAAAACAAAATTTTATGACGGCTCACTTAAGCGTGTCTCTTATCTCGAATGATTTAATTTACATGTATGATATTTCTTTACCCAGTGCTCAGTGTTGTTATATATATGGATCCTTCATACTATATAGTAAGAATATAAATACAAGTAGACACCCTTTAGCCCTCTGAGAGCCAGAGAGATGACATGCCTTGATAATGTCGAAAGTGTTTTAAAAGTGAGAAGATCTCGATTCAAACCAAAGTGCTAATTACTGCATGTTTATACACCAATGGACAAGGTGTTAATTACTGGAATCAAGGATATTTCTTTCCCACAAGGCTATATTTTCACTGATGTCAACAGTGGTCAACACATGAAAAGAAAACAATTGGAGATCCTGTCCGCACAGAGACTTTCTTCTGTAGCGTTCAGCAACTTGAATGTCACGGTTTTAGCATAACGGTGTCAGCAGACTGTTAGCAAACAGCTGCTTCACATATGTTACAATATGCCTCAAATAAACTGGCAACAGAATGCATGCGGTAAAATATTCCCAAGGGTAGAGAGATTTTTACAATGATCACCCAGAGTGTAAAGCCATAGAAAGACTGCTCGATCTGGCTTACCAAGTGTGGGCGAGTTCCATACGCATATAGGATCCATACCTGTAAAATATAAAGAGAGACATCATTGTAATTTGCAAACATTAAAACAAAAACAGGATTCCATTGATTAATTAAATATCATGCTTCTATCATGAAAATGCTGCTTCATGTTTTCCCGGTAAGCTCCACTCCTTTCAGCCATCCAAGGTTGATACAAGTGCTATTGAGCTGGGTAATATCAGGGTACGAGGATGAGTTCAAGCTCAATGCACCCTTTCTAGCTAAATATTTATATTATTCAACTAGATGGATCGTGTAAGTCTGAATTACAAGAAATTATCTAGTGGGCTCTGGTTAATCTACGTTCCATCAGCCGAGAGGGGAACAGGGTTTTCATTGATTTTATAAACATTTGGTTTGACTTACATGTCAGCTTAGCAGAATATTAATGGGTAAATAGGATTTATATTTAGACTGATGATGATTTGTAGAAGGTTCCGAACACACATTTACAACCAAGTAAACCACCTAGTGCCCATCACTGCAAGTTTGGTACTGAGAAAGAAGAGCAAATCATTTCAATTGCTCTCATCATTTTCATCCTGAAGGGGTGAATCAGCTGTGCTGTTTATCCAAGCTAATAAGTCTCGTAGATTTGCCTCATTGGCTTGTAAAGGGACATTACACTGCCCAAATAAAAAAATAATTAAAACAAAAACTGGTTAGTAGATATAAACCCAATGAAATCATGTGTGCAATTATAACTCCCCCTCCCCTCTCATTGGGGTCTCTTGTCTGCAGTCTTTATGAGCCCTCTCCTAACTCCTCCCAGACTCTCTGTCCATAACATTAAAATACAGGATTATCACATAAGCAGGTTATTGGGGAGTCTGTTCTCCACAACCTCATAGTGTACTCACCGATATATTGTAGCAGATCAAGAGAATTGAGATATTTTGCAGTATCTTTCTCCTGGTTCTAAAAAATGTCTGCTCTCCCTCTTCCTTTATGGTGTGCCTTTGTTGAGACAAATCTGTAAGTTTACTGCCAACTAATAAGCACTTTGGAGCATCTCTGCCCCCATCTGATACAGTTTTTACATTGGTCTTGTGCTCTGAAAAAGTTATTTTGCTATCAAACTCCGTCGTTTTATTGCTGGCTCCAGCTTCCATCATTTCATTAGCTGGATCTTGAGATATGGAGTAGATCCAAGTTCTTGACGTAGCATTTCTATTTTTAACCGGTCCAGAATAAAGAGCCTCTGTTATGAAGAGATTTTGGCCAAGAACCTGGACTGTTTTACAAATAGAGAAACAGAGATCTAAGATGTAGGTATTCCCTTCCATGTGCAGAAAAAAGATGGCAACTAATGAAAAAATGGATACCATCAACGTTCCACAGGAGCTTCCCATGAGTAGAGTAATGTCAAGATTTCTAACTACACTTTTGGATTTATCATCAAACGAAGAACCCTTCTGAAGTCTACACGTTATTATACCAATTACGGATACAATGAACATTGCTGATAGCAACACAGAGTTAAAGAGATAGTAGATACGTAGAGCCTCTTGGACTGTTTCAGGAGTTTTGGCAAGAACACCAAAGGAAATCATTACTCCAAATGTGGCGGAAATGGAGAAAGCTCCCAAAATCAGACCTACGAAAGCCCCATTGATATGAAGTGTGCTGCTACTGTGTCCAGCAATAACCGTGGAATAAGGCATTTTTCCAGTGTTTTTCCATATGACATAAAGCATGGTAGAAGAGAACAGGCTGAACTCAATATTAAATGGGTGCAGGTAGGCTGCTCCTTCTGAGAAAATATGGCAAAGTTCGGTAATGCAGACACAGCTATTGGTGTATGTTGTTTCACCTTGAATAAAGGAAATAAGATCATAAGATGAGTGAATTCAATACTATTGGTAATTTAATTTTTTAAATTAAAAACAATCTACTTTTCATGCTTTTCATTTAGAAGCTGGTAGACAGATGTCACTTCATTTAGTCACAGAAAGTTTGTCCCAGACAATTACATAAATATGCAACTTTTCATTGGTCTTATAGAATGCAACACCCCCTGTAATACCAGGAAAAAGAAATATAATCAAAGCAAAAGAAAAAAAGTAAATATAGAATGTGTATAAGGTGGAATTAAAAGGTTACACCCAGCAACGCAACCACTATACCTCACTGCTAGGAGTACACTGGCCTCGTTCCCTGGTAATGGGGCAAGCCATTTTGCCCTCTTAACATGGTCCCCCCTGGCTTTGAGGCTCCCTAATAGCTTGGTGACACTCTTCTGGATTCTTTATTCATTGGCTGAGAGCGTCTGCTAACCACTCTAGCTCAATGAATGTAATTCTGTGCAATAAAATTTGCACAGAATTGGCATTAGACCGCCTGGAACATTAGTTCTGGGTTGGCTGATGACACCAAAAGGACGTTGCTGGAGGTGGAGTTACAACTTTGGCAACAGAAGGGTTAAACTTTGAATGTGTGAATGTGAATGGTGTTTGGTGTAATCCTTTAATGTATTGAAGGAGCCATGAGAACAGTGGGGTGATGCATCAAGACATAAATAAGAACATACACCAAGCACTGGTTTTCCTACATGTGCAATTAACTGGTCAGTAGAGTATTAAAAAATTGAAATTCAGGGGAAGATAAATTATAAAAAATATAATTTAATTTATAGAAATGGGGTGACTGGAGGAAAATAATGAAAACCTTAAAATGTGTGAAATCATTTATATTCACATTGAGACAATTGCTATTTGTAGTAAAATTTAAATAAAAATCCAAAATTGTGCTATGATGACTGACACTACCAGTAGGTAAATGACTGCATAAAACATGAATAAAAACAAATATAGAACAAAGGGTTCCCATTTAACCATCTGTTAATCATGGGAGATCCACAAAGAAAGTCCCTTTATTGCCCTTATATCTTGGTTATGGTGTTGGGGATAATACGGTGAGTGGAGATGCCCACATTTGCACATTCACTTGGGCTCTGAAATAGGTGCTAATTCAGGGGTGCAATGGAGGCTCTGTAAGGTGGAGACTATACAATAGAAGAATGAATAGGTTGGCAATTATTCATTCTGATTATTTTGCGCTTTCGACACTCTTGGTCAAAGACGGGATAACACATGTCTGTCACAGAAAAACTGCTGCTAATATTTCTGCCCAGTGAGATGTCTCCATTGTACTTATCATACTTTGCAATGTATTCAGGTTCTCCTTCTGGATATCGTAGATCTCCTCCAGTTGTTTCATAGACTCGTCCAGGACAACACTCATCCACATTAATATATTTGTAGCCAGTGTGTGCATCAGGCCAAACCTGTGTGGGAAACCAAACAGCCTTGTAACATTGTTTTTTGAATGGTTGTTATGGTGTATAGGTAATGGGTGATGGTGTATATTTAATGGGTGATGGCGTATAGGTAATGGGTGATGGGGTATAGGTAATGGGTGATGGGGTATAGGTAATGGGTGATGGTGTATATTTAATGGGTGATGGTGTATATTTAATGGGTGATGGTGTATAGGTAATGGGTAATGGTGTGATGATTTGTGTCCTTAACAGAGACTGTTAAATCTCTGGGGTTTTGTTCTGCAGCAATAATGTGCTATAGCCCCTGATAACTAAATAAATAATATTCAAAATGGCAAAACTGTATAAATACAGATTCTCACCTGTTGAATGTTTGTTTCTCCTGTATGCAAACTTTAGCGTAAAATGAGAGGAGAGAAACCTGGAATTAAATACATTACTATGGATTAATATTTTCATGTCAATTATAATACGTGGCACCAAACCCTCAGAGAGCCTCGAGCTTCTGAACTTAGAAGGACATATGATAAGATCACATCATATAACTTCTTAATGTTAAAAATCCAAAACTTGATAAAAAAAAAAAAAAAAGAAAAAAGTGGAACCAGCATATTTCCTGAGCATTTGTGTTTGGATGTGCTCCTCGGCTCAGTTCAATAAATAATATAGGTTTAGATTGAATTGATTAATAGGTTTGTATTGATTATCATGATGTGCATAATGTACAGTGATCTCCTATGACTATTGTAGTCTATATGTCTACTGTATTTATTGTCCTGTTCCGCATATTATTATTGAACTTTGTTCAATAATCCAACTATTGTTCTATTATTATAAAACACCAAAAATTGGAAATATTTTAAATGAAGTTCCTACATTTATAACAAAAAAAAGAAACTATTGAAAAGAAAAATTTGTAATGTACGGTTTCACAAAGCCAAAATGTACTTTGCAAACTAAGCGTTTAATTTGAGATCCAATGTCCCTTTTAAGCAATAAGACCAAATGTCTCCCAAGGGCCTATTCCTGACCCTATAGTGTTAAAACCACAATCTAGCCCCCCTGGGCCCCTCATGCTTCCATAAATATAGCAACAGCTTACTGTATTCAAGCCTGAAGCTGTAGATCTGCATGCTGTTTGCCTCAGAAAAACAAGCTGTCTGCTGACATCATCAGAAGTGGTAGCCTGATCCAATCATAGTGCTTCCCCATAGGAGACTGACAAGGAGGCAGATCAGGGGCAGAGCCAGCATGATTCAAACACAGCTGTGGCCAATCAGCATCTCCTCATAGAGATGAATTGAATCAATGAATCTCTATGAGGAAAGTTCAGTGTCTGCATGCAGAGGGAGGAGATACTGAATGTTTGGATGCATTTTAGGCAGCCATGACCCAGGAAGGTAACTGATGAGTGGCCAGTGGAGTTATCACTAGGCTGTAATGTAAACACTGCATTTTCTCTGAAAAGACAGTGTTTACAGCAAAAAGCCTGAAGGTAATGATTCTACACACCACAACAAATTCAATAAGCTGTAATTGTTCTGGTGACTATAGTGCCCCTTTTAAAAAATTTAAAAAACAGAACATATCATGTGTGATGAACCGCCTGGCACCGCGACCAGGTACCTCCGTCAATCGCTGCATCCTAGTACTTGCGAGTACCATAAGCACTGCACTGGACCACCATAACTACTGCAAACCCCATGAACCGCCACAGCTTGCTTGGGATCTCGCCGTCTCCTACCCACCCTGGACCTATGAATAGGATCCAGCTTCCAGTGGATAGACCTCTCTTATTCCAGAGAGTGTAGCAGGAACAAGCTCTTACAAGAGCTAAATGATTATACTCAGGGGAGTATAGTGATTATAGCAATCCCCAGAGTGTAGTTCTCTAATCCCCCAAACATGAGCCGAAACTTCATGAAGGTGCAAGATGATCTGATCTTTAATGGTTCAGGTTGGCTTTTATACAATTATTCAGGCCAGAGGAACACCCCATAAAGGACACAAACCAATCAAAACAAACATACATCTGTGACACGCCCATGTACAGCATACAATACCTCCCCTCTGCTTGGAAGATAATTGAGTAAAGTCCTGTAAGTAACTCAATTATCTCCAGGCAGAAAAAACACATTTTCACAAAGTTCAGAAAGTACCCCAAAACATTACATCCTTGGATAGCCCTGATCTGGGTGAACAACATATCCAAAAATCACCCAGAGCAGGGGTTCAAAAATGCCCAAAACAGTTCCAGGGAATTAGGGCCAGCGGTCGGTCTCTCTTTGTGGAGTACAAAAGTACATTACATGAATGGAGCCTTTTAAAGTGTATTGGGCAAGGTATATTGCAGGGCCCATAGTCACAGGGTAGGAGGCAAGCAAACAGGCCCCTCCAAAAACTCGTGGCAAACTCACAGAAAAAGGGGAGTTTGTCACATCATGAAAAAGTTAACACAAGTTATAGGCAATTTCCAATATCTTAATTTTTTAAATCTTAATTTTGTAATTTGCAGAAAAGTACTATTAAACCATTAAAAGTATTAGTAAACTAAACTGGATAATATCTACTACAGGGCGTTCTAGAAAACAAGAGAACATCTTAATATTTAATTCCTCAAATAAATATCTTACCTACTCTATCCTAAATCCCTTTTTTGCGCGTTTTTTCTATTTTCCCCAATCATTCTGTGTGTCAGACTGCCCCCTCCTGGGAACTTCTCTAACTGATCAACTAAAAGCTCCAATCCTAAAGTGGTTTTCTGATCTAATTTTGAATGTTTTATTTAATTATAATTCAATTAAAAAAAAATAGAGCCTGATGTAAATTATAATCACACATCAGCTATCATTAAAGGACCACTCTAGGCACCCAGACCACTTCAGCTTAATGAAGTGGTCTGGGTGCCAGGTCCAGCTAGGATTAACCCATTTTTTTTATAAACATAGCAGTTTCAGAGAAACTGCTATGTTTACACATGGGTTAATCCTTCCTCCAATTCCTCTAGCGGCTGTCTCATTGACAGCCGCTAGAGGCGCTTGCGTGATTCTCACTGTGAAAATCACAGTGGGAGCACGCAAGCGTCCATAGGAAAGCATTGCAAATGCTTTCCCATGAGGCCGGCAGAATGCCCGCGCAGCTCTTGCCGCGCGTGCGCATTCAGCCGAATGGGAGGAGAAGAGGAGGATCGGAGGAGGAGAGCTCCCTGCCCAGCGCTGGAAAAAGATACGTTTTTACCCCTTTTCTCTCCCTAGAGCCGGGCGGGAGGGGGACCCTGAGGGTGGGGGCACCTTCAGGGCACTATAGTGCCAGGAAAACGAGTATGTTTTCCTGGCACTATAGTGGTCCTTTAATATGATATTACAGAGTATGGTATCTTCTCATATATCAGTGTTATTCCTTTCTAAAGTGGCATTGCACTCAATCTAAAGATCTAGTAATATATTTGAGAGAATATTCAGATATTTTGTGTCATTACTGTAATATATAAATAATCAGTAATCAATGAAACGGCATCTCATAACGTATTGATTGAACTTCCTCAGCTCAGTTTGGGCAGAAAGCACAGATCAAATAATAATGAAACCCACTTTGAGTACCATATGCTGAATACAAACCAGATCTTACTGCGTAAAAGAAACATGACAGAGTCTCGCTGTTTGGGATTTCTCACCTGTATGACTGTGAAAACAGCCTGAACAATTGGAAACGAAGTGACAAGAACCGATGTGCATTGCTGCAGTTCATGGTAGTATCCCAACGTTAGGCAGTCAAGAACTAAAGTAGCCAATGCAAACAGACACAGACCTCCTACGGGAAACAAGGAGACGGATTAATCTCTGATGTTCTTAGGGGGTTAGGATACCTTGTACTCACAGCGTTCACGGTTAATGTACAACCCATTTTAGCTATAGATACACCTGCACTAAAGATTCTGGGGACTGTAACTCCCATCACAACATTCCACTGTCTCTGATACGTTAGGAAGCTAGTTGCAGGGTACATGGGGTTCAATGATTTACATCTACAATTAGCGCAGAAACCCACCTCTATTTCCCAGACTGTAACATCTACTAATACGATGCGCTAATATTGCATCCAGTGCCACCTGGGTATCTCCATAATTATGGCAATATTTGTAACATTTTAATAGTGAGACTAACAGTAATCTTAAAGGTTCTTAAAGGTTCTTCAAGCTGCTAATTAGGGTGCCATTAATGATTAAACTCTTGCTTCCTTTATTCCCTTTACGGTTTAAGGTCAAGTGGTTGAGGAGAGGCATTTCAATCCATGGTGGCCTATAGGGTCATCAAGGAGATTAGTGCCGGTTAGGTTGTTGACCACAGGCAGGAGTGAAATGAGAGATCTACAGCAATGGAGCAACAGATTCCATTGTTCCACTAGGACCCCAGGAAAGCACAAGTAATTAAAGGGACACTACAGTCACCAAGACCACTTCAGCTCATTGCAGTGTCCCAGTCCCACTTAGTTCTGCCATGTAAATCTAGTTTTAAAGAAACTGCAATAATGACCTTGCTTTTCCATATTAATGCATGCTTTTAGTGAAAGTTTTATAATAGCATTTTAGGAAGTGGAATCCTGCTGGGAAATATAGCATTTAGAAGCTGCAATTTCTATTTGTTAGGGCCTGTTGTGTTCTTAGTTTGGAGGAGAGGAGACATGTTTCTGGTTAAGGTGCTGTTGGCATGATCCCATATCCAGTACAGAGTGATTTGAGATGCAGGGGGGTAAAAGAAGAGAACGACCATACATACCTTTTAACCAGCTGGCACCAGCCTGATGATCTTGGTACATTTTAATTTTTTTATTTTTTGCAGATTTCCATCCAAACCACAACATCCACGCAGAAGAGGTTAACATGAGGACTGTGAGAGAGCCATGGACATTCTGGGTTTGTTGACTGTGGTGTCTCATTTCTGCTAACAAGACTGCGCTGCCGAAAAACGTCAACAGGGCTAGGTAGAGTAAAGAGAGTAGACTGGTGGTTCTTGGATTGGTAAAGCGGAGCCATCTTTCCCCCTCATTCTTCAAACTTCTGCTACTGTTGCTTGAATACAGTGAATCCTGAGAACAAGTGGTTTTGGTGGTTACATCATCAACACAGAAAGAATGCATTCCGCTCGAGTCCACTGACGCAGAATAGGTTTCTCTTGTGATCATCTCTAGTATATGATTAATGGTATTTTCCAAAATTGTCTGACTCCTATAATATTAAATAAATCCATTACTGAAAAAGCATTGCTCAAATAAAATGACGTGAAATGTAATATTATATTTCCAATTTACACATTTCTTTGATAAAAGACAGATTATAAATTATTAAATAATTTACTACTAAATACAAATTAAACTAGAAGCAGAAAAAAATGTATGCCATTCAATTTACTGCTCTAAAACATTTTTGGAGAAAGTTGCCCAAGCACAATACAAACCTGGACAATGGCACCCTTGGCACTCGCTGTATAATGGACTGTATTATTATTACTGGTATTTATATAGTGCCAACATATTCTGTAGCGCTTTAAAAAAAATTATAAGAGGGAAGTTTTAACAATAAAACTGTATCTCCTACCTCTCCCAAAGAGCTGTCACCTAAGACTATTGAGGGTGTAAGTCCACAATATTCTGAAAGACTCTCTCTAGCCCTTAGCCGATATGCAGGTTGTCTGGTTACAACAACATGTTTGTTCGTCCACCCACTGTAAAGCGCTGTGGAATTTGTTGGGAAACAAGGAAACGGATTAATCTCTGGCACTATAGAAATAATAACATAATAATAATATTAATAATAATAAAAATAATAATGCTGAGGAAGTAAGGTCAGTCCCTTAATGTCAATTTACGAAGAGGTTTTTAATAGAGTTGTAATCAGAGTTTGTAATAACTGTAGCATATTACAAAGCTCACATTTTTATAGGATTTAATATGATTTTAAATCCATTTGTTTTGCTTGTTTGATTTTTCTGCTTTTATTTTTAAGATGTGAAATTCAGGAAAAGATATTTATGCATGCGTCATAGCAAATCCAAGTGTACTAGATAATAAGAAACAAACAATGCATTTAACGTTTTCTTACGATTAATAAAAGAATATTCTAAAATTTGTATACCCTCGTACACACCTGTAATGCCCCCTAAAACCATTGGTCCTAAACCCACTTTAAATAAACCAGAACATGATAAAGGATAAATAAAAAAACACACTTCTATCATTTCAGTCAATAATGTATTGCTAGCATTGAATACATGCTGAAATTCTAGAAACACATATATGTGCAGAAGACATAACACTTCTAGCAGGAATAAGGACTTAGGATAGTATCTGAGAGGAGTTATGCACGTATCTCTGAATTGTATTGAATTCAAATAAAAATGGAAAAACTGATGCTAAACCAAGATATATCGGAGTTAAAGAATTTGTCCAGATCCCCTTTTTTATTGAAAACTTGCCATTCCAATTTTTATTTGTTTGGAGATTAGTGAATGATGTTTTCACGAATTCCTTTACAGATTTAGATCTTTTCATAATTAGAGCTCTAAATAACAAACTTTGTTGAATTGCAAAAATATTTGCAATATTAGGTAAAAATTAAAATAAATAAAAGGAGAGTAGGAAAATATGCAACTTAATGTCATTTTTAACAAAAAGGTTTTTAACCTGTGCTGTTGTAGCTCAGTTTGCGTCTGATCCCAACTCTCTGAATAATCAATATCCTGCAATAAGGATTTTTTTATGAATACATTGCTATCGAGCAGAGGAGCATTTAATGTTAGAGACTTACTTTTTTGCCTTTAGATTCAGATTGCCAATTATTACATTTCTTCTTCTTACTTTCACTTGGACCTTAGGGATAATCTTGGACCTTCTGAGTTCTTGGTGGAGTTTTATCATTTATATAGACTTTCTTGAAGAGGAGCGGTCAGAAAATCAAGCCCTCCCTTAAAGGTGTAATAGGAGAATAAAATCCATTCCATTCAGTGACCTAGCATTGGTCTGCTGGAGCAATCAACACTTACAATGCATTGGTGATTTTAAAATACTAAAATACAAAAAAATAAGATGAAAGAGCAAAAAAAAAAAAACAACAATTTTCTATTTTGTTTTCTTAAAATATGTTTCAAGAAAAAACACAAAAATACAAACATATGCAAAGAACATGACTCAGAAATAAGACTGTGTGCATATACTTATGGCAGCAATTCTGGCAAAAAAGAAATAAAATCCCATATCACATTAACATTCAATTGACCCATACTAGGACTGTAGGACAGACGATGCATTCTAGAACGTAGAGACATCTCTTACAATTAACTCATGCAACAACATTATTTTGTCAAGAATGAACATAATGCACTCAGCAGTGTATAGCTTTAAAATATAAAAGGACAAAAAACAGTAAAACTACGGAAACACAAAGCACATGTATGTTGAGCACACATGATGACCTGGGCAAGTTGGGATTAAGCAAATAGAAATCACAGTTAGACATGTGCACTTCGTTTCTGTTCGAATTTAAATTCGGATGAATTTTGGAAATTCGGACATTCGGATGCTTCCAAATTTCGGAAGTGCCGAACCAAATTGCCGAATTTACGAAGTGCCGAAGTGCTTCGGATTTCTGAAAAGTAGCAAAACAGGAGAGGGAGGTAAAATTAAGGAAATGATGACAGGAATCTAACCCTACTCATAACCCTTGCCCTAGCCCTTCTCCTAATGCTAACCCTGGTTAGAGTTAAAGGTAGGGGTTTAGTTAGGGTTTAGGTTAAGGGGTAGGGTTAGTGTTAGGATAGGATTAAGGGTTAGGGGTAGGGTTAGGGAATTGCCAAAGTCCTGAAGTCCCGAATTTCAGAAGTGCCGAACCGAACAGAAGTTCCGAAGCCCCGAATTGCCTAAGTCCAGAATTGCCAAATTTCGGAATGCCGAGCTGAACCGAACCAATTTTTTTGCCCATGCACATCCCTAATCACAGTCATGAGAGAAAATGCAGAGACAAGGAAACCAGAAAGGAGAATGCATGTAATAATAGATTAATTCTTACAGTATAATCAGATAAACATGTAAATGTATGAAAGGCTTACTAGAACCACGAAAATGTGAAGAGCCCTCAGTGGTACACATACCTCTTAACCATCCCAATCCCAGGGACAATCCTGATTTTTGGGTTCAGTCCTGCGTTACAACTTTAATCCTGGGTGTCCCACTTTTAGGCACAACAGGTAACTACATCCAACAAGTTTAGCGCGAGCACATCATTAGACGCACTCAGAGCACTAAGACCCTGCAGAGAGCACTGAAACAGGGCTCCCTGCATGTCCTGCCCTCAGTGGACTGGCCTTGTTGATTGGAAGGTAGCCTGTAGTACATTCATGCTGGGATGACCTGCCAGTAATCCGGCCAGTCCCATCCCCTTTCCAGGGAGGACCACCACTTTTGACTGAATTCAGTGATGCAATTAGGCCGGACCCTTAACCCCCACTACACTAAGTATGGGGAGAATGGGTTCAGGTTTATAAGTAAACCAATTTAGAACCAGATGCCAGCAAGTGGTACAAACAACCATGACACTATATCAATACAGAAATTATTATATAACTCTCCAATGTCAGAGAACAATTAACTAGTGGTACACTTAATTTAAAAGGTTACTCCAACCCTTTTTGACAGTTTACTTTAAAAGTAAGAGTTAGAACATACCTGTAATCCAGCGCCAGGTGAAGCTCCCAGCTCCCATCTCCCTCCTTACGTCAGCAAGGGCCTCGTGGTTCCTCCAGCTCAGACAAACCTCGATAGTTTACCCCATTGCACAACATACATCCCCATAATCAATGATTGGCATCAGCATTTGCTGTACAATCTTTTCCTTTACTGTAGGGCTTAGGCAGGATTTGTTTCTGTACAGGGCACCTAATTTTGGATAAAGTTTAGATGCAAAGTTTAAGCGTACTGGCTCTATGAATGATCACGGTGCATATAGACAATGGCGAAATATATGCATAAAACATACAAAACTGGCCAAGGCCCAATATTTCTATGAAAATCTGAACAGTAACATCTCAAAACCTAGAAACTTTTGAAAAGTCATAAATAAACTACAAACTCCCCCAATCCACTCCCAACCCTCCACTGTCAAAGTGGGTAACCAAACCCTGCAACTTCCCTTAGATGTAGCAAATGCCTTTAACAATTATTTTGTCGGATGCTCTGCTGCCCTGATTGACAAGCTAATAAATGACACGCATCCTGAAACTACAAATGCGGATCAGGTCCCACTAAATTTGCAAAGGCCCAATATAGATAAGTTTAATTTTAGACCTGTACCTGTTAGTGTCATTAAGAAACACCTTAATAATCTAAAAATGAAAAACCAGTCCGGACCTGATCAAATCCCAGCAATGCTGTTGAAGCTCAGTGCGCCGGCAATTGCTAAACCCGTCTCAACTCTAATTAACGAATCCTTGGTGTCTGAATATATACCCAAACTTTGGAAGACTGCGAGAGTAGTGCCTATCCATAAAAGTGGTGACACTACTTTGGTTTCTAACTATCGCCCAATATCATTGCTCCCGGTATTTTCAAAAATCTTAGAAAAATGTGTCCATACGCAACTTTGTGAGTACTACCAACAATTAAACTATCTGACCCCTGATCAATCGGGCTTTCGCCAGAATCACTCCACTACAACTGCCCTCCTAAAAGTTTGCAATGACATACAAACTGGCATGGAACAAGGAGCCCTAACTGGAGCTATTTTCCTTGATTTTGCTAAGGCCTTTGACACAGTAGACCACGACATTCTACTGCACAAACTCGAAAACTCAGGTATTGGTGATCATTCTCTAAACTGGTTTCGATCGTATGTATCGGATCGCTCGCAATATGTGTCCATTTCTGACAGTGACTCCCTCCCTCTCCCAGTCACGTGTGGTGTTCCCCAGGTTTCCATTCTCGGCCCCCTACTATTTACATTATTTATAAATGATCTGCCTAATGTCTGCCAATCCTCAAATGTACACATGTACGCAGATGACACGGTAATCTATGCGAGCAAATCCAATCTACCGCAACTTGAGGCTTTGCTCCAAGACCAGTTTACAGAGGTAGAAAAGTGGATCGCAAAAAACAAACTCTTCCTGAACACTGACAAAACGGTCACAATGATCTTTGGAACAGTATCTAAATTACACAAATTACACAATTCCCACCTATCCATCAAAACAAATTCATATGGTACACTGACCACAGTCCACTCTTTCAAATACTTGGGTATGATATTAGACCCCAATCTATCTTTTGGCCTGCACATAGAAAAGCTTGCATCTAAACTTTATCCAAAATTAGGTGCCCTGTACAGAAACAAAGCCTGCCTAAGCCCTACAGTAAAGGAAAAGATTGTACAGCAAATGCTGATGCCAATCATTGATTATGGGGATGTAGTATATGCGTCTGCATCGCAATCCCACATTAATAAACTCAACACATTGTATAACTCGTTCTGCCGATTTGTGCTACAATGTAATTACAGGACCCATCATTGTGACATGCTAAAGGAACTAAACTGGCTATTGCTGGAATCCAGATGCACCCTTCATCTTTCCAGCCTTGTTTTTAAGAGCTTTTCTGGGAAACTCCCACCCTACCTGAACAAAATGCTTTCCCCAGCTGTTCCCACTTTCTATAAGCTCTGATCCAGTACAAGCCCGATCCTCCTTCTCCTACAGAGCACCACAATTATGGAACGACCTCCCGCACACTTTAAAATCTTCCCTAAGCCTAAAGTCATTTAAGAGATCCCTCTCTACATACCTCAAATAGAATGCACGTGTCATGGTTGATTATATATTTCCTGCCTGTTCTATGTTAAATTTTGTATATATTGTGTATTAATATTGTTTTTGTATTTTGTTGTACCTAATGTAACAATGCAATGATTTGTGGACCCAGGACATACTTGAAAATGAGAGAAATCTCAATGTATCTTTCCTGGTAAAATATTTTATAAATAAATAATAAATAAATAAATAATTTGCATATCAGAGGTATCCCACCCATAAGGGAAGTCAAGATCCACAATGCTGGCAAGTTCCCTCTGCACAAGAGATTCAGAAACCCTGGACAATCAATTTGTCCTTCTTTGGGCATCATCAGCGAGGTGTAGCCGATACCCCTCGAGGCACAGTGAGCACGGAGTCTATGTCTGGATTAACCTTTTAGTTTAGGGAGAGCCTAAGCCATTGTTTTGCCACAAAATCAGAGAATATATAGACATAAACACACACAACAAGCCCTGTGCTCAAACTATGCCTAGGACACGGATAGGAAACCTTCAAATCTCCTGGAGTTATGGACTACTTCTCCCCTGATTCTTTGCCAGCATAACGGCTGTAAGAACATGATGGGAGAAGTAGTCAGGCCCGGACTGGCCATCGGGCATACCGGGCAAATGCCCGGTGGGCCGCAATGGCCGTGGGGCTGAGGCCGGCAGGGGAGATCACAGGATCTCCCCGGCCGGCTCCTGCAGGGCCAGCACTACCCGAGCGCCGGCCCTGCTGTGTGTCTCCATGGGCTGGTGGGGAGATCAAAGATCTCCCTTTACCGGCCCAGAGACACTTCCAGGCGGCCGCTTGCTGGGGTGTGAGGGAGGGAGGAGAGGACCGGCGGAGCTCTATCCAGCAGCTCCGCCGGGTCCTCTCGCGGGATTCTGAGCGTTGCCGCGGTTACCGCGGCAACGCTCAGATCTCGCGAGAGTGAACTCTAGCCTACAGGCTAGAGTTCACGCTCACCACTAGGACTACCAGGGATCAGGCAGCATGGCTCTCCCATGGCAGAATGGCTCCCCCCCGTCCCAGGCAAAACGGTTCCCCCCCCCTCCCAGGCTAAAGGTAAGAGGGGAGGGGGGGGATATAACTTTTTTTAAAATTATTATTAATTTAAATTAAAAAAATCACACACACACAGCACCCCCAGACACACACAGCACCCCCAGACACACACAGCACCCACAGACACACAGCACCCAGACACACAGCGCACCCAGGCACACACAGCGCACCCAGAGACACACAGCGCACCCAGACACACACAGCACCCTCAGACAGACAGCACCCTCGCTCACACACACATATATATATATGTGTGTGTATGTATGTGTATATATATATATATATATATATTTACAGATATATATATATATATATATATATACATATATATAATATATAAAATAACCCTCAGTGAGTTAACAGACAAAGAAAATTAGAATGTGACGGCAGATAAAAACACCCTCACACACAGCACCCCTCTTACATACACACACACTGCGCCCCTCACACATACAATACGTCCAAATATATATATGTATGTGTATATATATATATATATATATATATATATATATATATATATATATATACACACACACACACACACACTACAGCACTACATACATTACGCTCCAGATACATGCTAGATCCCTTACCTTATATGCACTCTTAATCCTCTATACACACACACACAATCTCCTATACACACTCTGGGTCCTTTACAAACTAGATCTCCTACACACACACTGCACCACCTACACACACACTACATTCCTTGTCAGCAAACACATACAATATTCTCTAAACACACCCTCTCTACAACCCCTACACACACACACTACAGCCCGTATGCACACACTCGCTACATCCCCTATAACACTATGCCCCCTATACACACACTCTCTACAGCCCCTAGCCACACATATTACACCACAAACACAAATTAAATTGACCTATTTACAGAATACCACACCACACTCTACACACACGCAATCCCACAAGCAGGCTCCAAACACATGCACCATACACTTTCCTGGCCCTTTTGTCCTCTGGTATCCCACTTGTTGAGACACCAGAGACAATTTAAAAGCAAACACAGCGCAAGCATGTTATTAAATTTGCTTGCGCTGCGCAGAACAAATACAGGGCCTTTTTCTAATGCCAGAGCTCTTCAGCGCAGCTCTGCGCATTGAACCAACATGCTCACTTTGAGAGGAGGCGTGCTTGTCATTAGTGATGACAAAACACACCCTCTCTGGACCCTCCCCCTTCTTAGGGGGCCGCTCTGATTGAAAAATGCCCGGGCCTAATTTTTTTCCCAGTCCGGCCCTGGAAGTAGTCCACAACATTTGGAGTGCCTAAGGTTGCTAACCTCTGGCATTGGTTTGGGATACTGCCGATGAATACTATAACCAATACTATAGACATTGCTGCTGCCCAGGAGTAGTGGGAGTTTGAGCGCATGGCTTAATTTTGTATGTTTGTATTGGCTTCTGTATTACACAGCTAAGTACATCTTTCTTTCTCATTCAATATTTTTACCATTTAGCTGAAGACAGTAAGGATATTTGTCTTGGCTGGGCAGCTGAGCTTACACTTTACACTTTAATAGCCATTGATACTAAATCCAGACATTGCCTTTTACTACATGTGTTATCTGGAGGCAAACTGCTAAGTGATGTGAAAATCAGACACTCGCAAATATATATTTGGTTTATTTATCTAGTAATGTTTTGTTTGACAATAAAGCAAGACGTAAGCTTGTAGTGGAAAGCAGGGACAATATTCTACCAGTCTAAACAAACATTACACTAGTTACCCAGGGGCTGAATTATTTATCTTATTACCCTTATTTGTATAGTGTAAGCAATTAGGACAAGTTATTAGTAACATGGGATGTGTAACTAAAACCTGTAATCAGGAAAAAGCAAAGGATTATGTGTAAATATATGTTTATTGACAGAATTAAAAAAATCAGATATATTTCTCTAAGAATTATCATTGTATTTGAACATCAGTTGCTAACATTGAGGGAGATGGATGTAAATAGTTTGTGTTTGTACAGCAAACCTTGTCTCAGAATTATTTGCATAGAATTATGACGTTAATATTTAGGAACCACGCTGGATACAAGAGCATAAATTCTCAAAATACTGAAATCCAGGTTGTTTATAAGAAAATTATTTGGGAGAATGTATTTCCTAAATCATCAACAGAATAAGAAAAAAAAAAATATTTTAAAGGATGATATAGGTTGTTATTACAGTCTGAAGTTATGCTCTGATATTTGCCTCTCTTTTGTGTATCGCTCTAGAACCTTGAAATTCTGCAGGTTCCATCATAATGTGGGGTAGGTTTAATGTGATGTCATATACAATCATTGTGCTCAAGGTGGCAAACATCACAAGAAGAATCTTACTTTGCTCGTGTGGGACGCCATTTTACTCAGCCCGAGCATTCAATCAAGGACCCAACAATCAAAGCGCTCAAAAGGAAGCCAAAAATATTAAATTGGTTAATAGCAAGAAAAGAGCACTAATTGTTCATTTGGGTTTCCTGTCCCAGTGCCAAAGTTTTACATGACCCCTCCCCCCATCATTATCGTATATGTAGCCACATGATAAGGTTTATTATTACCCTTATTATACCTGTATATATATATAGCATTATGTATAGACATAGGCTTTTCCATACCCCATTGCATTATATTGAGTTGACAGCAAACTTACACTGTTATACAGGCTGTACACGTACTACTTTACATTGTAGCAGAGTGTCATTTCTTCAGTGTTGTCACATGAAAAGATATAATAAAATATTTACAAAAATGTGAGGGGTGTATTCACGTTTGTGAGATACTGTATGTGTGTGTATACTGTATACATATATGGGCATATGCATACATACAAGTTTATATGTGTGCACATTTGTAGGTATGTGTATTGGGGATTGTGTATGTATGTAAGTAAGTGTGCATGCCTGTGTATTTGTCCATTTGAGTGTATTTATATATTTTTGTGTGGATATATCTGTATGTATATATATATATATATATATATATATATATTGGATGTGTGTATGTATATTGGATGTGTATGTGTGTATGTATATATGCCTTCATTCAGATTCTATATGATAGGATGTGGGTACATGAATTCTCAATCTGTGTAATTATTTTTTTTTTTTAACTCTCCCCCTTCTAGTACCACCTCCTGCAATGTTTTGATTTTCTCTCTGTCTGCGATCCTTTAATAGATATTTAACACCCTCTGCGAGAATGGGGTCTATTTTCTATCAGACCTGTGTCTTATCTGCACTCATATCGCTTTAACCCCTGTATCAAAAAAAATTAAGGTTGCTGGTGTTTAGTTTTGACAAATATAAATGTCCTTTATTGCAGAAGATTTAATAAACGTTCACCTTTGCTAAGAGAAGGCTGTGCGGTTACATTGTTCTTGCAGTAATGAGAATTCAATGTATACACTCAGCCTGACTCCAAGCATTGACCGGCCTCAGCCAGCTCGTTCTAAATCCTATCTATTCTTAGCCAACCACATGGCGTCCTAGCCCACACTCCCTCACAATGCTGGGTTAAACCTGCTCCACCACTGATGGGCTTGCCTTCTGTTTACCAGAGACATTGGACTAGTTTATTGGCTGCCAGGGCAGCAGGAAGGGCTGACAAGTTAGGCTGCTCCCCTCCCATTTACTGTACAAGCTGCTTATGTCATAGAGAGGTCGCTGTTGTCACTGGATGCTTCAAAACATTTGACTTCTGAGCAAGGACGTATAGGAGCGTAAGTGTGATCTAAAATTACATTTCTGGGGAAAAAAGCCTGTGGGTAAATACATATTAGGAAAGCTAAGGCCACATTCATTGCACATGTTTCTAAACATTATAAATGCTTGGTGGGAGGTGGGCAATGCCTAGTTTCTTCTAGTTCTGAATGGGTTAAATCAAGGTCAATGTTTACGCATATAAGCAGGCAGTAGGTATAGCAGCAGCTAACAAGACCGCAGAGAATGAAGGGGTTAATTGCATGTGGTTTTCTTGGAAAACGACTCACTGTGAACCGCTTTATGCAGCTGAGCTGGTTTCTCAATGAAAGGATTAAACTGCAGATTAAAGAAATTCTAACCAACTGCACCCTCAGTGCAAAGGTTGACCCTTTTAACCTGTGGCACTTTAATGGCATTGAAAGGGTTAAAGGTGTGGCTGTTTTGGGGTACTGTATAAAAGACTGTGCATGCCACCATCTGCTGCGCTGTGTAGTTTTAACCCTCTGAGTGCTGGAATAGTGAGGCCATGTTAAACACTTGCAGAGCAGTTAGAGAATTTATTTTATTTTTATTTATTTTTTAACATGGCTTTCCCAAATATATTTTTTTGCTTCAGGGCACTTTTAATGCAGTAACTAAAACAGGAGCGGTTTTGGCAGCTTAGTCATATTATTCAAACTGAAAGGGAAGAGGAAAAAAAAAAACCCCACCCGAACCGCTTGGCATGTGATACATACTACTGCAGATCAGAGATATGAGAAAACATTTACCAAGAAACTAACCTTACATTTTTTGTTCTACATTACCTAAACCGACTGTTAGAACGAAAGATTTTTACTTTTTTGTTTAGCAAAATTTATCTTGTGATTTTGTTTTGTTTCCTAAATACATAATTCTCATTACACTAGATACACGTTGAAACAATGTTATTACATATGAAATACACCCTATGAGAAATGGGAAAAAAATGTTAATGGTTGCCATGGAAACAGAAAATATGCGCAGTTGTGATAAGAATGTAGCTGAAATGCAGACTTTGCTGCAAACCCTAACCGTCAAATCTTGGAATCGATTTTAGTAGATTTCCTTATATGACCTCCAATTCTATATTAAGAGAAATGACATTCCGATTTAGTTATACGTTGCATTAAAGCTTTGTTAGCCAACATTCTTAACATATACAGCGATACCCGATATTGATGAGCTGTTTAGGAGCCTTAAAGAACATAGAGGAAGTACTATATGCTGTGAGCAGGACTATTTTAGCAGATCTTATTTCAAGGAAAACAGACAGGCCGAATGGAAAGTTTGTGTAAAAATGTCTGGGCATTGGTTCAAATCTCTGAAAGAGACGTATTTTAGAGTTCTGGAAAATGTGAGGAAGCGGCCTGTGAGTAAGAATATTGGATAATAAAAGGAAATGTGAATTTGAAGACATAAGGCTCTGCGAGCAAAGTGGATTTTCACAGCCTTGCTTAGCTATAATGCTATTTCATTTTACCCCTATATATTACCATAGCAACACAATCTGGAATAAAGCAGCGATGGGCCTCGGCACAGCTCGCAGTCAGCTGTGGAGGTCAGGATATGGATATACCAGGGAAAGCACAGATTTTGTCAAACTGGTATCAAATGGTTTGATGCAGGGTGGTGCTCATACACCACCATAATCATTATACTTGGGTTTGAGACATTATAGCAGTCACCTGTATTAGATTTCACCAAACTTCCAAATTCATCTTCAAAATGTTCTCCTCTTCTTTTTAGACAATGACTCAAGAAATTCCATTCAACATAAACATCAAAGAGCCACGATGGGACCAGGGCAGTTTCGAAGGGAGAGCTAAACATTTCTTCATGGTCACAGATCCAAGGAATATTTTACTCGGACCTAAAGTGCTAGAGGAAGCAAAGACCATCGTACAAAATTACAGGTCTATAAAGCAGCATTTCATTGACTTGTGCCAGTCTACTATTTACTCTACTCCTGGTCATCTGACACCTCTGAATGGAAAGCGTCTCCCAGCGGGTTGTAATGGAAATCCCTTCCCCCAACTTAAATATTTTAGTCTAAGTTTTAAAAGTCAGTTCTCAAGTCAGCACAGTTTCCCGTTTAGGTACTCAGTAGCTTGCCCTTCGGTAAATCCACGCTCAGCTCTCAAAAATGGTTTTGTTCACTCGTGCCATTAGAGAGAAAACCTATAACATTTGCACATCAGACTGATCCCATTGGCACAAGTGAGAAGAAACATTTTTGAGACCTGAGTGGGGACTAACCGAAGGGCAAGCTACCAAGTTTCTCTAAGCTTTTTCTCATTCTCAGAGCTCTCGTATTCTCCGTTTTTGTTTCACAAATAAATGTAGGCCTAAAATAACTATAGGCTTCAAATAAAATGTTGCATTTACTTTGCAGTGAAGAAAAAAATATGTAAGATCAATTCAAACACTGCAGATAAGAATAGGAATAGCTGCTAACTCTTCTTACAAAGTTTAAAAATCACCAGCATAAATTCTCAATTTCTATTGTGTTTGTTAAATAAAACCTATAAGCATATAAAAATATGGCAGATTTGAACATGCTGATTAGAACACACCGAGTACCATATTTGGTACCAGACCTGCAAAAGCAATAGATGGGAGCTATGTATAAGTGGTAGTGTTTTACTTATAGGCTTTGCATGCTAGGTTAAGTAGACTTGTGGATGGGGGCAAAGTTTGACTCGGCCGTACCACGGTATGTTTGCCAACGAGCGTTGTGGCGGGGTGGTGGCCTCTCGGTGAGGATTAAAGAGATTCAAAATAAGTTGGCCGTGACAGGTGTGGCCCTAACTGCTTTTGCCAAGAGGGCAGAAATGCGAGGCAGTAACTATGATTTGGCCAGAGGGGTGAATACCTCCGTAGTTGAGGATGGGAGTTGGCCTTGCAGGACCGCTAAATAAGCACAACAAGCAGAAAACTACCCATGGCCACTAAGAGTACCTGAACATCCAGACCAAGCTAAAGATAAGTTCGGTAGAGCGAGCCAGTCACTTACGTGGTGACTTGAAAAACGTAAATGCAAAACAATAAATGTGGCATGATTAGACATACACCTGGCAAATACATTTTACATTAAAATATATATATTTTTTTTTTACAGCCCCCATTAATCATTTAATGACTGTCCCAAGCCATAAATTCTTTATTTTTTGGTACCTTGGACAGAATTCAGAATAATAAATCAAAACAAACATGTTCTTTTGGGGTTCATTTGATTCATGATTCCGGTACATTTTGTATTTAAGGAATTTGGCCCAGAATCGGACCAAATGCAGATGGAACCAAAACTAATCTCTAGTCTAGATTAAAGCAACACTCCCAAAAACGGCCCAAAAACATTATCAAAAACAGCATTCTGTTATTGGATAACATACAGTATTAATTTATAAGCAATTTTAAAATGTATCGAACAAATGTAATAAACTTGTTATTGTGTTACCAGAATGGGAATACCGACACCAGGACTGACTGAAGATCAACTGTGGCGTGCAAAATATATCTACGATTCTGCCTTCCACCCAGATACAGGAGAAAAAATGGTGCTGATCGGACGAATGTCTGCGCAAGTGCCCATGAACATGACCATCACTGGCTGCATGCTGACATTTTACAGGCATGTGTCGAACGCAAGGATTAATATGCAGGTTTTAAAATAAAACCATATGTAAACAAAGCACTGTTAAAACTGCAAAGGGACCCTAGGTAATGGAACAATTTATGTTCAAGTCTCCCAGTCCATGTCTCCCGATAAATAGTTATAATTGCTGCAGCGTGAAAAGTTGCTGCATCTAAAATATGCCACTTCTCTCTCTCTGCCTGGACTAATAAGAAGAGCTGTATGGCTGCCTTAAGCTTATCCTGCAGTACCACTCCTCCTATGTGATATATGGAACTGCTATCAAGATTGCTGGTTGCCTGTCCAAGTACATGCAAAAGTGCATATCATTTTAATGCCATATGTATTTTATGTACACACACACCACCCCCATTTGATGTTGCCAATGTATAGGTGCATAATATGGAAATTAGATAAGAGGAAAAAAAAATCCAAGTATCTAAAACTCACAGATAAATTATCTCAACAACACAACAGCTGGCCGGACTGAGGAGGCCGTAGAATGAGGCCATTGTGGTCAAGATGTAAAACGTTGGTATTTTATGTGTGAGGATTTTTTTGTTTGTTTTTCATGATGTGAGTTTCTCACTCAAAACATGAACATTTTATAATTTTTATAATCTCAAAAATGAAAAATATTAAATAAAGCATAAATTATTCATGAAGTTCTTTAACCCCTTAAGGACACATGATTTCCTTTTATTCCAGAAGTTTGGTCCTTAAGGGGTTAAAAGAAAAACAAACTGTGCAACCTTTTAAAGAATGTTAATATAACACATACATTTGTTTTATATTTTTTTCTTAGCGGTCAGATCTCTAGAAGCCGAGATTTAGTCCTGGTGATTATTTCTAAATCTGATTACAGAAGACAGTACATGCATAATTTAATTTTCATAGAAATATATTTCTATGCTGCGCTTTTATCAATCTAAGTCATGTTCAACAATCACAGGATTGATGTGATTTAAAGTATCAAACACCAGATAAACTAGATTTAATTTTCTCTTTTTTTAAATCAAGGAAGTGCACAGGAAAGGACAAAACTCTGCACAGGATTCAAAAAACAGGATCCCAATAATGGCAATTTGGAACTTTGGACATTTGTAAGCATCCGAATTGCATGAAACAAATTGCACATAGTTGTGGTGGCAGTCCGGGCACTGGGAGGCCTATAGATGTGTAAGTGGTTGTGGTGGCAATCCTGGCACTGGGAGCTCTACAGATGTGTAAGTGGTTGTGGTGGCGGTCCGGGCACTGTACATCTGTAAGTCTCCCAGTGCCAGGATTGCCACCACAGCCACTTACACATCTATAGGGCTCCCAGTGCCGGCCTACCACCACAACTACTTACACATCTATAGGGCTCCCAGAGCCTGGACTGCCACCACAACCACTTACATATCTATAGGGCTCCCGATGCCCGGACTGCCACCACAACCACTTACACATCTATAGGGCTCCCAGTGCTAGGAGCTTATTGGTCAAATTTCCTGTCATCATTCACGTAATTTTTCCTCCCTCTCTTGTTTTGCCACTTTTCAGAAATCCGAAGCACTTCGTCAATTCAGACTTAAGTCATTCCGTTTGGTTCGGCACTTCCGAACTTCGGGCATTCGTAAGCATCCAAACGTCCGAATGTACATTCGGAACAAAACGAATTGCACATGTCTATTCTTAAGGATGGCTTTAACACATCCTGCACTACAGTAAAGCTGTTAAAGAGATCTACCCACAAATCCTCTAATGCAGGGTGGCAAGAGGCAACTCTCCACGAGTTACTGAACTACAATCCCCATGTTGCTTTGCCAGTCTGATGGCTGGCAAGAGATATTGGAAGTTGTATTTTCTTAACAGATGGAAGGCTATCTATAACCCCTGTTCTAATAAACTGGGTACGCTCCTTGTATTGCATTCTAACCAGGATTTAAAGAAGTACAGCAATGAGTGTACAAACGTAGGTGGTCATTTATAAGTCATTTCATAATGCATCCAGCATAGTTTCACATTTTGCATTAACTGTTTGTCTACAGAACTACTCCGGCTGTGCTGTTTTGGCAGTGGATTAATCAGTCTTTTAACGCCATTGTAAACTATACCAATAGAAGTGGAGATGCACCCATTACAACCAGGTGAGAAATACTAAATATACTGATTTTCTTTGTGTGCTTTACCCACGAGCGACCTACCATTAACAAACCTGTTTATGTGGACTGCAACTCCATGAGGGCACAGATAGCCCACACTCCAATAAGTGTTAATTCCTGGTATAAAGTATTCTTGTTGTTTTCTCTGTAACAATAATGTTGTAGAGGCAAACAATGTTTATAATAATTTTGTGTTTGTGGACAAATCACAATTAATGTCACATGCATAATTCAATAATAATTAAAGGAACACTATAGTCACCTAAACAACTGTAGTTTAATGAAGCAGTTTTAGTGTATAGATCATGCTTCTCAGGTTTCACTGCTCAATTCACTGCCATTTAGGAGTTAAATCACTTTGTTTCTGTTTATGCAGCCCTTGTCACACCTCCCCTGGCTCGGATTGACACAGACTGCATGAAAAAAAAAAAACTGGTTTCACGTTCAATCAGATGTAATTTATCTTGAACAATTTTATCTCTTGCTCTGTAAATTGAACGTTAATCACATACAGGAGGCTCTTGCAGGGTCTAGCAAGCTATTCACATAGCAGGGGATAAGAAAATCTAAATTAAATAGAACTTGCTATAAAGAAAGGATAAACTTTAGATGAATTTTTACAGGAAGTGCTTAGGAAGGCTGTGCAAGTCACATGCAGGGAGGTGTGACTAGGGTTCATAAAGTGATTTAACTCCTAAATGGCAGATAATTGAGCAGTGAGACTGCAGGGGCATGATCTATACACCAAAACTGCTTCATTAAGCTAAAGTTGTTTTGGTGACTATAGTGTCCCTTTAAAATAATTGCTGTCCCTGTATATATATATATTATACACACACAAACAATTTAGCTATGCTTTAACATCTACTTTTTGTATAAAAGAAATACAATTCCATTGAAAGCCAAGCAAATTCCTGGCTAGCTTCCTGGCTTATTTGAGTGTAGTCATGTGAGAATTCCAGAGAAATGGTAGATATTCCTGCACACTATTATACTTCCAGTTGATACCTACTATTGCTTTTTCCTAGACATTTGTGAGATCTATTTAAGCAGATCTACAGGATTATTCATTAAACTCTGAATTACAGTAATGTGAAATGCAAACAGCAAAATGTAAGTGTAAAGCTTGTTTGGAGAAATTGTTCAATTCAAGTATTGTCACCATTTGGCTTTCATTTCACTGCAGTTTGGAGTTTTGTGTATAAAAGTTCTGGGATCAGATTACTTGAAAAGTTATTCACAAAACTACTAACAGCAGCAAAATGGAATCCCTTTAAAAACATTTGGGCTATGATTTAACGAGTACGAGTTTAGACTCCCTCGATGTGAGCGTTTGAGCACTATGACCTGAATTTAATATTGTTGGAGAACATTTCCAAATGATTCAATATTTTTGGATAAACTTTTCAAATTACTTTTTCAACATGTTGAATTATCAAAACATATATTTATCAAAAAAAATATCAATACGTCAAACAATATCTAAACATTTAAAAAATAAATAAATCTATTTTTCATAATATTAAATGGTGTTAAAAGTTTTCCCAAAAATATCAAATTAGGGAAACGTATCAAGCAATATTAAATCGAGACCATATATTAGATCTTATTTTAGAGGAGCACTGACCGATGTGTCTATCCAGGATTTCTGTTTACAGAGCATCATAGAGGTTACATTGTTCACACCCTATTCTAGAGAATGTAACTAGATTTTTATTTTTTTTACAGCCAACTGGGCACAGCCTACGTCAGTGCGACAACAGGTGCTGTTGTTACAGCTCTAGGTCTTAAATCATTGACAAAGGTAAATCATTTATTGTTAAACTTAATTTATTTTAAAAGTGATGTTTGAATAATGGAAAAAAAACAAGATTATGTATAACCAGGCTCATCTACTAAACCAGTGTTAATTTTGGCGGCAAATTTCAATTTAGTTTTTGTCATAGTCTTTTGACTAAAAAGCCATTTTAGTTTTAGTTGTATTTTAGTTATCTGAATTGTTTAGTTTTATTTGATTAAATATAAAAAATATTAGGCGACTAAAATTTGACTAAAATGATTAATTGACAAAATTAGCACTGTACTAAACACCAAAATAACGTAAATTGACATCTGAATTGGAAAAACGAATTTGCTGACTTGGGAAAATTCTCCAACTCTACGATAGAAAGATTTTCTTTGCCAGTAATCCATTCTAGACATTTAATGGCTTCAAATGGGAAACCGTTAAAGAAAGTTAGAATATTATTCCATTCGCACAGTCAGGGAGAGGAGTAAATGGCATCTCTCATTTCCCATTGGCTAATTTAGATCACGTGAAATATCATGTAAAATATTGTAAAATATAAGATGCTATATCTTGTTTAAAGTGTTTTATTACCTCAATATGTCCATAAATTTTTTTTTTTTTTTAAAGTGTACATATGTTACGGTACCCTCAGCATGAAATGTACAAACCGCCGTTTAGTGAATGCTCCCCGTTCACAGTAGCATAGGCTTCATGCGTATCAGGTACAATCATGCGAACCGCAAGCAAGGTAACACTGCAAACTCACGAACGGGATCCGTACGGGCACTTCACTCCACGAGCTCCAAACTCACGAATCGCCAATATTAGCCGAACGCATATATCTCCCAAGCGGCTAATAATCCCATCCGGCAGTCTCTAATCGTCGGTAATAAATCCCCCCAATGATGAGACCTAGCTCTGCATTGAGGGTAAAACAAGAACTGGCTTTACTGTGGGCTTACCCGTATTTATGCAGGTCTCCCACTTGGTGGACACTCCCCTAGGGGACCAAATGGGAGACTGTAACAACAGACAGACATATGGCAAGTCAGGAACCACAGACACAGAATATTCCCAGCATGCATTAGTATTTCCTCCCCTCTTCCCTGGAGATAATTGAGAAGTAATTCAATTATCTCCAGGACAAGGACAAATCGCCATTTTAAATACAATATAGAAAAACACATAAAAATATATAACTTTGCTTCTGTCGAATGCTACCCATTCGTATCACATTTCCCCAGATAGCCTGGATCTGAGTGTACATTATTGGCGAATAGCACTCAGATCCCATACGCATAATTCAATCGCCATGGAGTCAAAGTCTATTACAGTCCTTCGGTATGCGATTGACTCCATGGGAAGGCTATCTGGGGTAAGTCCATTCGAATGTTTAAACCTCCCGAACGGCCGGTGTTCGCATCCTTCTGTCGATTGAGAAGGGGAGGTCGACGGCTTCCGCGGTGTTCGGCAGAAAGAGTGTCCGTTTTCAGTTCCATGAAATGTATGCCGAACACCGCTGGTCTTTCGCATGTTTTAAAATGGCCGCCGCCTCGTGGTCGACATACGAACGACGACCACCCGGTATTCGGTTCTTAATTGAGAAGTGTCTGCGGTTAACCACAACGTTCTAATTGGGATCAATAGGTTAACCAGCAGCACACTTCTCTTCTGGGTGGCCGTCCGTTCGGTAGGTTCATCAGCGGAAAAAGTCAATTCACTGAACAGAGGCATACGAAAGGGTAATTCCACGCGAAGGCAAACAGACGAATCCAGCAACCAGTCTCAACACAGATGGATCTGTCACAACATACATTTGAATTTTTTTTGCTTTTCTAAACGGCACTCGATAGTCAATATTATTGTTTTATGATATGATAACTATGCATCCAGTGTGTTAAATGTTATGCTGAGACTTTTGAAAAACAAAATAAAGTCTAAATACTAGCTGTTCATATAGCAGCACGCACTGTAGGCGGGATAACATGCCGTAATTCACTTTGCACACACATGGTAAATGTTTCACACTATTTTATATAGATAACAGATTGGGGTAAAATCAGAGTTAATTTAAATATTCAGAATTGGAATTGTTAGTTGGTGATTCCCATATAACTTGTTCTGTGTAACTGGAATGATAAACATATTAATTTACCCATCCCTGTGACACAGAACACATGAGGATGAGTGCAACGTTCCGTTCCAGAAACATTTTGTATTTACTTTGATTTCTGCCGTTATACTGGAAAGACGAGACAGGGGGGATATGATAGAAACATTGAAATATATAAAGGAAATCAAAACAGTAAAGGAGGAGACTATATTTAAAAGAAGAAAAACTACCACAACAAGAGGACATAGTCAAATTATAGGGACAAAGGTTTAAAAATAATATCAGGAAGTATTACTTTCCTGAGAGGGTAGTGGATGCATGGAGTAGCCTTACAGCTGAAGTGGTAGAGATTAACACAGTAAAGGAGTTTAAGCATGCGTGGGATATGCATAAGGCCAGGGACTAATGAAAGTATTTAGAAAATTGGGCAGACTAAATGGGCCGAATGGTTCTTATCTGCCGTCACATTTTATGTTTCTATGTCTTTCTAGCGTTTACCTGCCCTGATCGGCAGATTTGTACCATTTGCCGCTGTTGCAGCTGCCAACTGCATCAACATCCCATTAATGAGACAGAGGTAAGTAGATTGCTTCTATAAATATTAATATCATACTTCCAGAGATCAAACAGGGTAGTAAGTAGCAATAACCCAAACTTTTCTGGAAAGATTCTATATAACAATAATAAGAGGGCATATACAATATTTTACACACAACAGCAATATAGCCCCTTAAGAACAAAAGATTTTTTGAGATGCGATACATTTGTGACCAAGGACTTTTTTGGCACTTTTGCCATTTGTATAATATATCATATGTGTGGATTCACTTAGAGGTGAGACATGGCCTTCTTTTGATACACTATATCAAATTATCCTTTATCTGCATTAAAAAAAATGAAAAAGAGGCAAAAATAAATAAATAAATAAATAAATAGTTAGAACAGGTCAAATTGTCTGCATTTAGGGCAGATAACCGCAAAATCGATGCTACGTTTAACACATGTTTACTTTAATTAGAGAGTTGAAACACGGAATCCCCATTACAGATGAAAATGGAAATCGACTTGGAGAGTCTACGAAGGCCGCCCAGCAGGCTATCGCCCAGGTGGTGGTATCTCGGATTGGCATGGCAGCACCGGCTATGGGTAAGTGCAAGCAGGAATAAGAGCTGATGGCAGCCTAAACAGATTGATTTCTGTACCAACCCTACGACTCCCTATCTACGCATAATAAACCCAACTGATTGTATCTCTGCTAGAGAATCTGAACATGCGCGCTAAGGCTCAACCAATCTCCACCTCAGGGTCTTACTGGGTTATTTACTAAAGATAGAATTCAAAGTGAATTTAAAATTTAATGACAGAGTGGCTGAGTTAAAAGCATCGGTGACTTTTTTCCCCAGTTTGGCTTTTTTCACCTTAAATTAGCACTTACGCAAGGCTGTAGATTGTGATCTTGTATAAGAGTTACAGTATGACTTTATGAAAAGAAATATGTCATCTGCTGATTATAAATCCACAAACCTAGTTTTTTTTATTTATTTTTTTGTTTATTGGTAAATTAAAAACGATGGAAAGATATTACTTCTCTGTCCTGCGTTAAACACGGTCTGCAGTAAGAGATTGATAATTTACAATCTCGCTTACACAGAACTGATGTACACACAAATTGTTTTCAGAAAAAAAAAATATTCTATAAAAGTAAATGCAGTTATCATTTGGTTACACACCGTAATCTACAAAACAAATCTCTTTCTGATTTCCGCTTAAAAGTATACATTTCATCAAATACCCACAGAAACAGATTTGTGATATCACTAGAATAAAAGTTCTTCTCACTTGTACCCATAGAATAAATGGATACCCTTCTTCTCTACAGTTATTCCCTTTATGGTACATTAGCTTTCATGTACAGTTACTTACATTTTGAATCCTGTAAAATTATATATACGTTGTTAAACACAGATCTGCACACCAGTCAAGCCATAATACTTGCTTTTCCCACAGAAATCTCAAGTTTGCAGTGATGTTACTACTGCAAGGGATTCTGGGTAGGCATATGCAAATTAGTTCAATAATGAAGCACCCTTTTGCCTCATTATTCCATTTTAAACATGGATTCCTTGGAGTCTGTGTTTGCTGTATACAACAGCTTTGAAACACAAGTCAGGAAGAGGAGCAAAGCCATGTTTTATCGCCTTTCATAGTTTTCCCAAATATTTTGCAAGGACAATATTTGGATGAGCCAATCTACCAAATTAATGGCTATCAGACCACTTGGACTAAATTATATTTTTGGATGAAGTGATTCAGCTGAACTAATTTTTGAGTAGTAGATAAAAGGTTATATTTTATATTTTCTGGCCATTTATGTGCACCATGGAGAGTTCTTAAAATGTAATCTTGTTGATGGAAAGGAATTTATGACATTTGCCTGATTCTGCTGAAAATATCAACCATGACTTTACAGAATGCCATTTTTCCTAATCACATTCTGGAGCTGAATGTTTGACATTTAACAGGGTACAATGTAATTACGGTTCATTTCTTTGACTCTGTGGTAAAGCCGGTCTTGAAAGCGTTGTGTTAAACGTCTTACCAGAATGGTATTTCTGATTAAAAATTGTTTTGTAGACCGCATTCTGAAGCCATTTTTACTTCATATCACAGAATTAGATAAGTATTTCCTCAATAAGATAAATTTAGTAAAAGATGAGGTCCACACCGATGTAACATCCTTTGTCCCCAAAACACCAATAATGCATCTGTCTGTGACTAAAGTGGGCAGTAGCGAATGACACACAAGCTTGATTAGTCAACATTTGGTTTGTGCTATGATAGAGTTTAACTCTCACCACTTGTTTAACTAAACAATACCTTTCATTAGTGAGGGACCTTGTACCTCCATTTATATCAATTCTCTGCGAGATAACATCTTAGCTAGATTTACTAATGTATGATGGTCATCCCAGTAGTGAATGGAGACTTTCACGATGTAAACAAGTGCACTAACAAATAATTTTGTATCAGCACCATTTCAGATACAAATGAGAAATGATGTCATTCTAAAAGTTAATTTTGGATTTTTTTTTAAACATATGTCACATGTTGAGGACTGTGATTAATAGAATTCTAAAATAGCCACATCTTTATAAATGAAAAATCTCCTAAAACCAATAACCCATATCATTACCCCAATCTTTATGCATTACCCATCAGTCATTTATAGCACCTCGTAAAAAAAAAAACTGCAACTGTCATCATTCTCAACCAGATTCTACCCAGTTGAAAATTATGGTAGGTCGGTCCATCATCATTTTTATTTTACATCTAATTTTGTTTCACATTTCAGTACCATTCAAGTACCATTCTAATTTTGAGGTTTCAGAATGTACCCCATAACTGTGCAGTCACCCTCTGGTAATTATTGGAGACATTGTCCAAAGCCAAGTTTAGGATCAATGTGCCAAGCTTAGCTGGCACTTCATTAATAACTTGTTAGGAAACCTACAATGACAACTGCACCAATTCAACCACTGTTACGGGGCTGTGGTGACCATATGGACGCCTCCGCATCAAATCAGGAACTTCAATCCAAAAGCGATGTAGCTGCATTAACTTCCCAAGTTGTCATTACTGGGACTGCAATAGGAGTACAGCCACATTGTCAATCACATTGGGTATTAAGGGCCCTAACTCATACTAAAAGAGTTGTGGTGGGGAAAAAAGTATGGATGAAGTAAGTGGATAGTTATTACATTGCTAAACACAAATACACAGTCAGGACCCCAACTCATATATACAGACACAGGCCAAACCAGGCTTTTCCCCTTACTTTAAGTTGCTCCAGTGTTCCTGTCTCCAGACCAGGCTCGGTGTTCAACCTGGATATTGTTTATTATTTCTTTATTGCTTTTGCACTCCTCCTAGACTGAATATCTTAGCGTAGTACTGAGATTTCATATTTCCCCCTTACCTTTATTTCTGTGATTTTAATAAGACATAACTGCCACACACAGACGCACACACAAATATCATCAGACCCACAGTTGAACATGTACACACAGTTAAATGCAATCTCACACTGTCAGGCACACACAGCCAGAGATTCATGCACACTTTGTCAAACAGACACACAGGCACACACACATACAGTCAAACAGACACAACCAGACCAATAAGTGTTACAGGGCCCAATGCTGGCCACTTGAAGATTACTGCCTATAACCCCTTGATGGTGGCCCTGATCTCGACAGTTCTTTCATATCATTGGACCTTAATATGTTCATGAATTAGACGTATATAGTGTTTTTAGAAAGCTTAATCATTTGTCGTATTAATACAGGCTTTCCAGAGTGTAATTTTATTTATTTTATTTAGCAATCCCCCCAGTGATAATGAATGCGCTGGAGAAGAGAGCATTTCTGAAGGTAAGAGTTTCCATTCATATTGTTTTATATTTGTATTTCTATCTATCAAGAAGCAAAAAAATGCAAAATAAGAATTAATCTCTTAAAGAAATTAAATTCGTTGCAGTATCTCAAAATCTATAATTATTTATAAAATATTTTACCAGGAGAGATACATTGAGATTTCTCTCGTTTTCAAGTATGTCCTGGGTCCACAAAACATTGCATTGTTACATTATGGTACAATAAAATACATAAACAATATTAATACACAATATATACAAAATTTAACATAGAACAGGTAGGAAATATATAATCAACCATGACAGGTGCATTCTGTTTTGAGATATGTAGAGGGGGATCTCTTAAAGGATTTTAGGCTTGGGGAAGATTTTAAAGTGTGCGGAACATCAAACATTTTAATATGTGATATTTGTATGTTTTTGTGAGATGTGATATTTGTATTGTTTTGTGAAATGTGATATTTGTATGTTTTTGTGAGATGTGATATTTGTATTGTTTTGTGAAATGTGATATTTGTAGGGTTTTGTGAGATGTGATATTTGTAGGGTTTTGTGATATTTGTATGTTTTTGTGAAATGTCATATTTGTAAGATGTGATATTTGTAATCCTCTCTGTTAATGTAAAGGGATGATCATGTTTGTATCCGGATTGTTTATTTTCAATGGACCGTGTCAGACTTTTTGTTTTTTGTTATCTCTCACAGCGTTACCCGATTATGAATGCTCCTCTTCAGGTTGGGCTGGTTGGATTTTGGTAAGAAACATACATGCATGTTATATTTATATGTAATGCAGCCTGAATTTGACATTCATTTTAACACTGATATCAGTAAGATCAGTAAAGTAAATCAACAAATACTAATGTCAGTAATTATAGATGCATTTAAAACCAATGTCCTTGGAGTTTCTCTTTCCACCCAGGGGTGACCAACCTTGGCCCTCCTGCTGATGTTGGAATATAATTCCCCTCACACTCTGCAGGGAGACTGGAGAGCCAAGTCTTCAAATTTGCCTTTCAATCAATCTAGAGGTAGAGAAACACTGGGATTTGGGAGGATCCATTTCATTATCAAGTGATGTTCATTGGTCGGTAACAATAATAATAACTCTACATATGAGTGTTTACACTTTAAAATGTAGTTTTATTTAGAACCCATGAACGTTTATCTAGCCCAGTGGTAGTCAACCTTTTTCTTCCTACCGCCCACTAATGCATCTTTCTTGATGGAAAAATGTCCTTACCGCCCACCAGTTTGCGCGCAAGTGCAGAATATTTTTTAGAAAGGAGGGTGTTTTAAATGTACGTACATTTAACTTTTTATTTCTACTTAATGCATGTTTATAATGTTTTTAACTTTATAAAGTTTAATGAGAAAACAATAAAGTAAATTGAAATTACCTTTACTAGTGATTAATAAGATCCTTGAGGCTGATGCTGCGAGACTAAATATTTGATATCCGGTTCGATTTCCGTAAGGAACAAACGAAGGTCTCCTCTTTCGGTGATATTCAGACGACTTCTCTGTTTGCACATAATATGATTTCTCATCTGTGCGTCAGCTCCCCTCCTCTCCCTCCTCAATTCCCCTCCCCACCTTTTTTTTTTTTTAAACCTTCCTCATAGCAATGCCCAGTAGGAAGGCTGAGCTAGGTAGCCCACTTACTATAGCCCACTATAACAGACAGGCACACATACAAGACACACATACAGACACACACACAAAGACACATACATACAAACAGACAGGCACACACATACATACAGACACACACACACAGACAGGAACACCCGACACATACATACAAACAGGCACACACACACGACACATACATACAAACATACACACAGACACACAAATAAGACATACATACAAAGACACACACACATACATACAGACACATACATAAGATACACATATACAAAGACACATACACACACATACAAAGACATACACAACACATACATACAAAGACAAGACACACACAACACATACACACACACACACAACACATACATACAAAGACATTAATAAGACAATCATACATACAAAGACACACACACACACACAGACACACACAAGACATACATACAAAGACACATACATAAGACACACATACATACAAAGACACATACACACACATACAGACACACACACAAACAAACACACACATTATATTTAAGTCACCCTCCTGTTTCCTACCTTTAAGGTCCAGGAGGGTGACTTCCCCTGGGGTCCAGTGGTGACTGAGGTGGATGGGAGTCAGAGTTCCCACTCTGACTCCCCGGTCTTCCTCCCGCGTGGCTCTCATTGTTAGCTGGGAGGAGTGACGTGCAGTCACCTCCTCCCAGCTCTGTGATGTAATCACAGGGGGCCCGGTCACACTGTTAAAGCGCCCAGCACTGACCGGGCCCCCTCACAATCCACATCCATCGGGTGGCCCTGACAGGATGCGCCACCCGATGGACCCCTTGGACAGCGGCCCCGGCAGTACCCAGTCGCAGGGGTACCACTGGCTCGCACCCGCCCACCCAATCTCTCCAAATGAGGTAATCCCTACCGCCCACCTGGAATCCTGAAATGCCCACTAGTGGGCGGTAGGGACCAGGTTGACGACCCATGATCTAGCCAGTCTGTCTACTCTGAATGTGGGGACTACAACATGCAGCTTTCTCTGTATTATGTAGATTGTGCAGAGACACTGCTTAAACCTTCTATAAAATAGGAAGGGAATAATATAGACATAGTAACAAAGCCAGCATGTAGTTCACGGTCTGTTTATCCATCATACAAGGGGACATGAAGCAGTCTTTATTATTTTATTCCTATCCCAAGGTGAGGGTCTAAAGCAGGTCTCTTGGTACTGTACCCTAGCGGCAAATTATGAATCTTCTGTATTTGAATATTATAAACTTTCTATAGAGCAACAGATGTATAGATATAAAATAGAAACCAACAGCAAGACAACTTACCCGCTCACCACGCTCGCTCTCTGTAAAGATTCGGTCATAGTCCGTGCTTTTCAGGCAATTTGGCCGAGCCCGCTTGAAAAAAGAAAATGTTAAATACATGTAATTCAACTTATCACACATCCCCTCCACTATCACTACTGTTGACCCAAAAGAAGACAGAAAGAAAATCTATGAGCCCTAGAGAGGGTGTAACAGGTTTGTGGTGTATGATCACGAGCAGTCGGACTCTTAATTCAGAGCTCAACGTCCGTCATATTCTGAAAGGCACTCCGGAATCAGAGACCTAAAAATAATTCATTTCTATAAAATACTTTCAGTTTTTTGTGCGCCCTTCACATTCCACAGAAATTCTGGTCTACCTCACTGTGACTAATTGTGAAACCCTGCTTTCACCATCTTCGTATGGTTCATGTGATTGTATTGTATTGTTGGGAATTGAAACCCAAATTGCACATTTTAGGCAATCAGAAATTAACTATAAATGACCCAATAACACTAGAATAACATTGGAATTTGTTTTTCTGTAATTTAGGGTTTAGTGAAAACCCATTTTGTGTTTATTAAAGTACAATAATTACATAAATCTGGGACTATTTTAAATGGAGAGTTAGAACAGATAGCAGCAACTACTCATTTCTAACAAACGCTGGAAAAAATATATATTTTTAAAATGTTTTTACTATTTTATTATTTCAGTTTGGTATTTGCCACTCCTCTGTGCTGTGCACTCTTCCCACAGAAAAGGTATGTGAGAAGACAATTTACATTGACTTGATATAAATATTATTTACAAATGCCAGAAGGAATTAGGGAGTCCATTATTTGCTATTAGAATAATTCACTACATTTTGGATTTTTTTTTCATTTGCGAAAACAATGTTTTTAAGGTGCACGGAACATTGTGAAATAGTTTCAGACTTTTTTATTTTTTTTTAAACTTAAAATACACAAAATCTTGTGGTCAGGTGCCTTAGTGGTCAGGAGAGGGAGGTTAATGTCGGCTTAAAGGACCACTATAGTGCCAGGAAAACATTCTCTTTTTCCTGGCACTATAGTGCCCTGAGGGTGCCCCCACCCTGAGGGGTCCCCTCCCGCCGGGCTCTAGGGGGTAGAAGGGGTTAAACTTACCTCTTTCTCCAGCACTGGGCGAGGGGACTCTCCTCCTCTTCCTCTCCTCCTCCTCGGCTGAATGCGCATGCGCGGCAGGAGCCACCCGTGCATTCAGCCAGTCCATAGGAAAGCATTATCAATGCTTTCCTATGGACGCTGGCGTCTTCACACTGTGAAATCACAGTGAGAACCGCGGAAGCGCCTCTAGCGGCTGTCAGTGAGACAGCCACTAGAGGCTGGATTAACCTTATTATAAAAATAGCAGTTTCTCTGAAACTGCTATGTTTATTGCAAAAAGGGTTAAACCTAGCTGGACCTGGCAACCAGACCACTTCATTAAGCTGAAGTGGTCTGGGTGCCTATAGTGGTCCTTTAATTTACAAATGTATGACATATGTAGAGAAGGGTGCAAGGTTTGGAATATGTGTAAGATCAAATGAGGGAGTTGCAAAAAAGGTGATAATTTTAACATACTTTCTCTTGATTCATGCCTTTCTTTGAAGTTCTGCTTGAGCAATACATGGATTGTATAATACAATACCAGCCCTAAGTATTGATACAATGTTCAGATGCCACCATGTTCCTTTAACTTTTCACTACCAAGCCCTGTTTAAAACAATGATTGACAGATAGCCAAGATGGAGGTGCCTAGTTGTAGGACAGATATAGTTCATTTAATTTTTCAACTTCACAAATAGACATTTGTTAAAAATAGAAATAAGTTATCATAATATTTATAGATTTGTGTAAATTATCATTCCCCTCTAAGATTTTATGAATGAATATGGAATATATGTGTTTATAAATAACATTAGTGAGACTACCAAGCAGTGTTATCAGACTACTCACACCGTTATTATTCTCCGCAGCTCAATGAGCGTATCGCGTCTGGAACCTGAGGTCCGTGCCCAGATTCTCAAGAAAAACCCTGGCACACAAGTTGTATACTTCAACAAGGGGCTTTAACCTTCACAATCAGTCAGTACACTCTGCGGAGACAATTCAGAATATTATTTTCACAGTATATGTGAAAAATAAGTAGAACAAAATTTGACCTTTATCTGCTTTTACAAGGCGTGTACATGTGTTTTCTTTTTTGGGGGGGGGGGAGGAAGAGTATGGTAGAATCTGTAAATGGCTTCCAGGTCTCATTTATGACTTCAATCTTATTGATACAGGAAAGACCATTTTGCTGCTATTTCATATACTTACCCAGCAGCCTTTTCAAAAAACTGTTTAACGTTCCATTGTGATATACATACAAAATGGCTGCTGACCCTATAGACTGGATTTACTATTGTGTCTAGTAAACTCCTGAGCCCAGCAACATTAAGGTTATTGTGAATAAATAACTGTGGGTGGTGTTAAACGATACATCATGGAAGATCAAAACCTTTTTTTGTAATTAAAATGTGCTGCACACATTTTTCTTAAGGTGCCCTTTTTAGAGGAGTTGCCTGGTCACCTCAACAATGGTTTCTCCATTACACAACAAACCCGTTACTTATTAAGTGTTTTAATACTCTGTTTTGCACTCCTGCTTGTATAATGGGGGACTGTGGTGAGTCACTTGCATTCCTTGTCACCGTAAATAATGGTGATAAGTGGGGTTCTCCTCTGCTGCTAATCTGATTTGTACTTTATCTCTGGGTGTATTCTAGAGTGTTCTCAGGTATTACTAACCGCAGTATATTACAGTAATGGATAAGCCGTTACTGGCATTATGGGAATGATTATGCCAAGTTTAGCAGTTACTGGCTTGCGGTGTGTCATTATATAGTGGTATAATCTGTTACCAATGAGAAATCACTACATTCCAACCACTAACACCATCTTGAGAGGATATGCCACCATTTTAAGCAGGGAATGTATAACTGGGTACAAATATATTACTAAAAGTATATTGTAAGATATATATATATATACACACAAAAACAAAAAGGTTATGGTGGGGAAAAAAATGGTTTGCTATTGAGGCTTGGTAGTGCTTGGGAAGCAGAAACCAAAAAGGACTACCAAGCCTCAATAGCCAGCCAGTTACCAACCTCATGCTGATGATTTACATTAACAAAGAAACAGCTGTCCGTGAGTAGTTCCCTGTTTCAAAGCCGTTGTATACAGCAAACACAGACTCAAAGGAATCCATGTTTAAAATGGAATGAGGCAAAAATGTGATTCTTTGTTAAACTAACTTGCATATGCCCACCCAGAATCCTCTGTGGTAGTAATATCACTGCAAATTTGTGATTTCTGTGGGAAAAACAAGTCTTACGGCTTGACTGGTGTGCAGATTATTGTTTAACATTGTATTAACTATATATATATACACACATACACACACACACACACACATACATTCTCTATGTGCAGAACTATAATTGGTGGCATGATAGAGTATATTGTCACAAGCACAGTATTTGATAGAGCTAATGTATTCTAACAAATAATTCTATATGGTGCTGTCTGAAAGGAAACACATTGATCTTCCATTTGTATATTTCTTTATTGCGGTTTTTATGTTACTTTATCACATTTTCCCGATGCCATAAGTCTGTTTCGGTAACACCTTCACATGTATATTTATAGACAAGCTGATAACTATTAAAGGAGACTTTGTTTTTATTCTTCTACTAGTAATAAAGTGTAAGGCAGCACACCTCAAGGTGGGAAGGGGTTCCCTCTTGATACCCCACAATTTGCAGGAAAAGAAAGGAAAAGAGAACAAGGTTGCGCCTGATAGAAATTGGAATATACCGGAATTATGAAGATAACCGGAATAAAATATCCAATAAAACAAATAAAAATCAAATAGAATGGTTTAAAAGAGAGTATAAAAGTCTTGAAGGGAACAGCCAAACTGGGTTCTTATAATTCCAGAAGTATATATTTCTCACTATATACTGTACCATCAGAGTCTTCTCTCTTATGTCTTACATGTACTTCTGGAATTACAAGAACCCAAACTCCAAGAACTTTTGATTTTATCCAGTTTGGCTGTTCCCTTCAAGACTTTTATATTGTCTTTTATACCATTATATTTGAATTTTATTTGTTTTATTGGATATTTTATCCTGTTATCGTCATAATTCTGGTATATTCCAATTTCTATCAGGTGCAACCTTGTTCTCTTTTCCTTTCTTTTACTGCAAATTGTGGGCTATCAAGAGGGAACCCCTTCCCACCTTGAGGTGTGCTGCCTTACAATATATTACTTATTTTTGTGACCTTATTCAGCGCTGATCTTTCTGTGACAATTCTCTATTGCTATTAAATGGTACTGTGCTAGAAAAAAGTGGATTTAGACAGTCTTACAGGAGCTGTACCTGGCAATGGTGGACATATAACTTCAAGACAGTAGTTTTAGTTGAACCCACAGGACCTGATCGCTCTGGATTAGAAGATCTGTATTTCTGATACTGATCTTTTTCTTCTGATTTGATACAAATTACTCTCTGTTCACCCAAAACACTAGATGAAGACTTCATCCCTGAATGGTCAATAGAAGTGGAATATAGGAGGGCAGAGTTCTCCTAAATTTCCGAATGACAGAACACACAAACATTTGGCAGAGTCCAGCCAGTTCTTCGCCAACCCATTACAGGTGATTAACATTCTCCAGCTTACCTGATAACTGAAATCATATGCCAGGTAGCTTCGTAATAAAGTAACAGTCATGGAGAGTTTGAAAGAACTGACTTATCTTCAGTGGATCATTTCAACATGTATTGATAAAATGCCAACTATAATGTGTTGGTAGTATTGCTTCAAACAGCAGAGCGGCTTCAGCAGATTCCGGGTGGAACATCTGAGATCGCTGTCCAGAAGAGTGCAGTTCTAGAACATCTAAGATTCTGTGTAGAACCCTCAGACTGCCAGGACTCTGGTACAGGACACCAGAATGAAGTATACTCAAAATACCACCCGAGGGGTGAGAACGTATATTTTATGTATAGAGCAGAAATTACTGCACTGTTATAATATATATTATATAATATATAGATTATGTATAACAGACATGACATAAAAATATAGTGTAAAATACATTTAGCTATGCATTGGTACAAAAGGATAGAGGGCACTGGTCTTTTAAGCTTACAATTTAGTAAAAGGCAGTATGAAAAACACTTTGGGTACAACATTGGAGTGAAAAGGGACCAGAGCCAGACTTTATCTTATACAGTATGAATGTCCTGGAAGCTCTGGCTGTGCCCACCAGCATCTGAGCCCCTGGTACATTCAGAGCAGGATTAACCATAAAGTGACTCTAGGCAGCTGCCTAGGGCCCAGGAGTTTGAATGGGTCCCTGGATCCATAAATTTGCATGGCTCCATTCACCATCTCTATGTGAAGAATGAAGGATCGGGGGACCTTAATCTGCCTAAGGCCCTTTGGGATCATAATTCTACTCTGGGTGCCAAATGCGTAACCTGGCTTTGGCTAGATGTCTGCCCACCCTGACATCATGAAGGCACCTTTTTTCCTAGCAGGTGTCCACATCGCATGCACTCACTACCAAAAGACTTCTACAGGCTCTCTTGTAGCTTTCTATTAGATATTCTGTATAGCTGGACTGTGCATGTGCAGTCTTGAAAAAACATAAATTGTTTCTTTAAGTTTCATTAACTGAACTTTTATTTAACAATGAATACCCAAAGTAGATTTCAGAGCACAAGGATTGGCCAAGACATTTCAGCCATATCCCAGATTACTCCAAATCATGTTGAATTGCAGGAAATATAGGTTTAAATATTTTTCATTTATTTTCCATTGTTTTCCCATTTATTTATTAGATTATCCCCATTGTATTTTAAAATAATGTGGGTAGGTCATCTCCACCCTGTGACGTGCCTTTATCTCAAGCATATTCTGCCTCGTTTTGTAGACCTCTTACCTTTACATATCATCTCTTGTACTTGATAACATATTACTTGTAAACTATAAATTCTGCTATAAGGAAATGAACAGAATTGACAGCTTAACCCGGCCTCTGATTGCAGTTTGATAATGCTCTCCCTAAACTGTCATTTTGTTTTTTTATTTTATAACTTCATCCATTCTAAACAATGGCATAAAACAATCCCTGATTGTAGACAATTATAAATTAATAGCAATAACTTGGAAATCTAACCATCTATCAGCCAGTTACAAAAGCACTCACATCTAATTAGCACACATTATTTCTCCATTAGTATTCAGAAAGATTAATGTATTCATGCATAGTTAATGAGAGATTATTTACGTTGAGCTATTTGTTTCGATAACATATTTATACATATACCTTGGGTCGTTACGAAAGATTTTTCTCGTTATGGTTTTGTTTTTCCCCATTGAATAAATATTAAAGTTATATTTTAAACACGTTTGAAAAATAACAATCATACAATAAACACTATTAAAAAGCCTTCAGGTGCACAATATTTTATTGCCGAGAGCTATAAATAATCTGAAATCAAAAAGGCAACACTGAGTATTTTACAAATGTGTCTGAGGATGTCTGTTTATACATTAAATTACCAATAAAAGCTCTGTATACAATGTTTGTTTCTCTTTTTTGAACCTTTCATTTTTCAAAGTATTGCACACTATATAATCCCACCCCTGTAAAACCATCGTTGTGGAGAGTTTAGTAGCAGAGTGTAAGAGCAGAGAGTAAGAGCAGAGTGTAAGAGCAGAGAGTAAGCAATTTGTGTGTGAACAAGCAAGTGAGAGTGTGTGAGAGAGAGAGCAAAGTGAGAGCAAGTGATGGCTTGTACGGAGAGCAGTGTAGGGTCCCCCCCAAGTGTACCACTACCTGTGCTCTGCCTCTTAACACTAGTACTGGTGGAGGAGCTAGTCGTGGTACTACCAGCAGCGACATGATGGCTACCAGTTTCCTCAGTCACTTTGCTTGTGGGGAGAATGTGAGGAGGACGTGGACAATCCATTATGGTTTCTTTTGATTAAATTTTTATTTAAATTAAATCACAGAAAACTAAAAAACACAAAATGAATCACTGTAGCAAAGTCACAGTGCAGCAGACAGACACCCTGGCAATCAGACTACCTGGCTTGCACAGCCACATACTCTCTTACCCCTCTCCCCCCCTTCAAAAAAGAAACCAAACACGGAAGAAAAAAAAAGGCAAAACACTCGCTCTCTCTCTTCCTGGAACTTCAAAGCAATGTGACTTCCAAGTTTGCAACAAGTAAAGTACAATAAATGTAACATAATTTATCTATCTCGTTCTCTTGTGCTATCACAACTAGTCTGGTCACATGAATGCAAGCCAACACTCTGACAGCCTGATTTATATACTATCCCACCTCAATGACTGTGTGCCTTCATTGGCCAATTGTCAGTGACAAAATCACCATTATTTGGCTGTCCTCTAACATCAATCACAAAAATTTGCTCATTTCATTGGACAGGGAATAGGGAAACTGGATTGGGCAAGCAAGCATTACATTGCACAAAAGGAATTAGCTTATTGGTCAAGATTCCTGTCATCATTCACGTAATTTTCCCTCCCTCTCTCTTGTTTTGCCATTTTTCAGAAATCCGAATCACTTTGGCACTTCGGAGCTTCAGCACTTCCGAACTACGTCACTTCGGAACCTCGGACATTCGTAAGCATCCGAATGGCATGAAATTTGTACGAAAGTACATTCGGAACTAAACGAATGTCCGAGGTCTAGTTTATATAGATTGAGAAGGTAACAAACAAGTTAAATATAGTTTCAGTTCTGTTCTGTTATTACTAGGCAATCAAAGGTTCACATCATAATAAATAAATCCGAAATTCCTGGACATTACATCTATATGGGGAAATGAAAAGGGAACTACTTCGTCAAACATTGTTTAAAACAAGTAGGGTTTAATAACAATGAAGTGAAATGTATCTAAACAGAATATGGATTGATGCCATCAATTTACATTATAAATATATATGTACACAGTGGCAGAACTACCACCGGTGCAGTTGCTGGGGTGGCTACAAATATAAGAAATATGACATTTATGTGTATCACATTGCGTTTGTGTATATCTGTTAAGTTGTGCATGTTAGTGTGTGTATCTGACTGTGTACTTTTGACAGTTGAAATAGAACCTCTTCCTCTGTAAACTCACGTGTAATAAATGAAAGACAAATAAGTCAATGGGACCTGATGGAATACACCCAAAGCTATTAAAAGAGCTTAGTGGTGTACTAGCAAAACCATTAACAGATTTATTTAATCAATCATTGTTAACAGGAGTAGTCCCAGAAGATTGGAAGTTAGCGAATGTTGTGCCCATTTACAAGAAAGGTAATAGGGAGGAGTCGGGCAACTATAGGCCAGTAAGCCTTACTTCAGTAGTGGGGAAAGTGATGGAAACCATGTTAAAGGATAGGATTGATGAACATCTAAAAACACATGGATTTCAAGATCAGAGACAACATGGGTTTACTTCAGGGAGATCATGCCAAACTAATCTTATTGATTTTTTTGATTGGGTAACTAAAATTATAGATCAGGGTGGTGCAGTAGACATTGCTTACCTAGATTTCAGTAAGGCTTTTGACACTGTTGCACATAGAAGGCTTATCAATAAACTGCAATCTTTAAGTTTGGATTCCAATATTGTTCAATGGGTAAGGCAGTGGCTGAGTGACAGGCAACAGAGGGTTGTAGTTAATGGAATATATTCGAAGCTTGGACTTGTCACCAGTGGGGTACCTCAGGGATCTGTACTTGGACCCATTCTCTTTAATATTTTATTAGTGATATTGCAGAAGGTCTTGATGGTAAGGTATGTCTTTTTGCTGATGATACTAAGATATGTAACAGGGTTGATGTTCCAGGAGGGATAAGCCAAATGACAAATGATTTAGGTAAACTGGAAAATTGGTCAGAATTGTGGCAACTGACATTTAATGTGGATAAGTGCAAGATAATGCATCTTGGACGTAAAAACCCAAGGGCAGAGTACAGAATATTTGATAGAGTCCTAACCTCAACATATGAGGAAAGGGATTTAGGGGTGATTATTTCTGATGACTTAAAGGTAGGCAGACAATGTAATAGAGCAGCAGGAAATGCTAGCAGAATGCTTGGTTGTATAGGGAGAGGTATTAGCAGTAGAAAGAGGGAAGTGCTCATGCCATTGTACAGAACACTGGTGAGACCTCACTTGGAGTATTGTACACAGTACTGGAGACCGTATCTTCAGAAGGATATTGATACCTTAGAGAGGGTTCAGAGAAGGGCTACTAAACTGGTTCATGGATTGCGGGATAAAACTTACCAGGAAAGGTTAAAGGATCTTAACATGTATAGCTTGGAGGAAAGACGAGACAGGGGGGATATGATAGAAACATTTAAATATATAAAGGGATTCAACACAGTAAAGGAGGAGACTATATTTAAAAGAAGAAAAACTACCACAACAAGAGGACATAGTCTTAAATTAGAGGGACAAAGGTTTAAAAATAATATCAGGAAGTATTACTTTACTGAGAGGGTAGTGGATGCATGGAAGAGCCTTCCAGCTGAAGTGGTAGAGGTTAACACAGTAAAGGAGTTTAAGCATGCGTGGGATAGGCATAAGGCTATCCTAACTATAAGATAATGAAAGTATTTAGAAAATTGGGCAGACTAGATGGGCCGAATGGTTCTTATCTGCCGTCACATTCTATGTTTCTATGTGTATGTGTGTGTCCGTGCGTCTGTGGGTCAAGATGTGTAAATGTCACTGTGTATATCTGTGTGTCAGGTTGTGCATCTGTATACGTTTGTCCATCTGTATGTGTATTTGTCAATGTGTGTGCATGAATCAGTGTGTGTGTGTGTGCATCTGTGTTTGCATCTGTGTCTATATGTCAGTGTGTGTGTGTGTATCTGTGCATCTGTATGTGTACATTTCAGTGTGTGTGCATGGGTCAGTGTGTGTATCTGTGTGTATATGTCAGTGTGGACATGTGTGCATCAGTTTATGTGTGTGTCTCTGTGTGTATTTGCGTCAGTGTGGTTTTGAATTTGTGTGTAACGGTCTGTTAATGTGTATGTATACCTGTATACTTATGTATGCAAAAAAAAAAAAACTTTCTTGCACCAGGACCATCTCTACATAAGTTCTTCCACTGAATATACACATGGCATAACATAGTACAGTTATATGAAAGAATGCGGTATAAGGTTAGTAAAGGCAATGATAAAGTATGTTGATAACAGGGGAAGCATCTGTATCCTGAAATGAAAAGATTAAATCCTCCCTATTAATATAAGGGAGGATTTAACCTCCCTTATATTAATATAGGGGTCATAGTGACTCCCATAGGTTTTAATGTGGGGGAGGTAGGAATTGTTAATATTTATTACAAGGAAGGAGCTGGTAGCGCTGCCTGCTCCCTCCTTGCTTTTTTTGGCGCAGTGTTATTTTCATCCTAATGGACGAAAACAGATTATTTTTTACCAAATTTCATCAGAAAAAACAAATGTTTTCCGGACGAAATTCGGAATGGCCGAATTACATTTTTATTTAGTACGAAAATTTTATTGGTACACGTCTACTGAGCTTACTTCACCTTTCTTCCAGCACTAGCTCTGTCCACGCTCTGCCCCATTGGCTGAGATCATCAAACTTGATCATTTCAGCCCATGCAATGCTTTCCCATAGGAAAGCATGGGCAGACTATTGCTCATGCACAACAAAACACTTCGCGCTGCCAAACCTCAAAGAGATGCATTGGATCACCTCCATGCTGAACACTGACCCAGGAAGCACCTCTAGTGACCGTCTGAGTGATTACTCCTAGAGATGTTACTAGGCAGTAATGTAATTTCTCTGAAAAGACAGCGTTTACATTGAATAGCCTGCAGGGACCGGATATAGACAGCAGAACAACTACATTAAGCTGTAGTTCTGGTGACTATAGTGTCCCTTTAAGAGCTCAAATGAAAGATACATCCCACACCTATATGGACTGCTGGTCAATATGTTAGTCCAAGATGATCAATTTGTTCCTCCCAAAAACCAAAGAGAGATAATCTGTTGTCAAACTGAGAAAGTGGTCACAGCATGTGTATGTGTACACACACACACACACATATATATACAAAACCTGCACTCTTGTTTTCAACTTTGCCTGGTAACCGATCCAATGTAGAACACATTATGTTAAATGTGTAATTGCACTGATGAAAGTTTCAGTTTTGAACTAAAACATTTGTGTTTATTTGACAATATTGGAATCGTTTAGGAAGCCCGAGAGTGTACCACTTTTCATGTTAATTTTTAAATTAACTGCACTGTCAGAAAAGGAAACATATTGTGTTTGACCTGATACATAGGATTGAAACCAGGTTACTGTATGATCATCAACACCTGAGTTTTTACATTTTTTTAAATCGAAAGCCATATTCATCTGTGTCAAAGGCCTTTGCAAAATCAAGGAAAGTAGCTCCAGTTAGGTCTCCTTGTTCCATGCCAATTTGGATGTCATTGCAAACTTTTAAGAGAGCAGTTGTAGTTGAGTGATTTGGAAGAAAGCCTGATTGGGGTCAGATAGTTTGATTGTTGATAATACTCACATAGTTGCGTGTGAATGCGTATTTCCAAGATTTTTGACAAAACGGGGAGGACGATAGTTAGATGCAAAAGCATTGCCACCACTTTTATGGATAGGTA